GGGCATGATCCACGTAGTGCCCTTGCTGGTCGGGGTTGAAGGCGTAGTCTGTCGAGACCATAGTGCCGGATCGTGTGGGTGGTTCGTTGTTCGTGCCAAGGAAGAGCGAGGTATGCTGCTTCATGGTCGGCCGTTGTTCGGCGACAGGACCGCCAGGTCGAAGGAGACCGGCGGGGTTCATCTCGGGGGAAGAATAGCCGGGGCCAGGGGATTGGTATCCGGGAGACGCGTAGCCGCCGGAGCCGTGGCCGGAGCCGTGGGAGGCAAAGGGCGACTGTGGACGGTGCGAGCTCGGCGATGTCGGGCTGCTGGGATCGGAGTCTCTACCGCCCAGGGCAGCGAGAGCGGCTGCGCGGTGGCCATCGCTCGAAGGGTGTCCGGAGTTGTCGGGAGAGTGTATGCCCAGGCCGCCTCTGGCTTGGTTGGCGACGGGGGCGCCGAATGAGCCAGGGCCCATGAACTGGGAGAGGAGCTGCGTTCGTCGCTTTTGGTATCTGCAGAGAGAGAGGGGGGGGTGGTCGTTAGCCGTTGTCTCAGGCAAGCAGTCGGACAACACGGAAGAGGGGAGGGGGGGGTTTCGCGGAGGAGGGGTCGGTACCAACCCTTTCTCTGTGATGTCGCCTTCCTACAGGCACGAGAATGCGTTAGTCCACGAATGATGCGACGGTAAACGGCAAGCAGGAAGAGAGATGCACTTCAGGCAGGTGCTCGGACGAGATGTAGGCGGGCGCATCCGCGCAAGGTCTTTTGCGGGATATCGGACGAGTGCGCGGCGGCGGCGGCAGCGGGGAGGGAGATGGTAATAACTCACCTCGAGCTCCTTCTCGAGCTCTTGCAGCTTGTCCTGCAGTTCGGGGGTCAGTTGTGCTGCCATGGTGGTAAATGTGGTCGTGAGAACGCGCAACAGCTGCGCAGGATGCGGTGCGGCAACGAGCAAGCACAGCAAGTGGAAATGGTTAGAAAGGGTCTGGAATGGCCCGAGACCCCGGGGTTAAGGGGAATGGGACTGTGGAAAGGGCCGGGATTCGCCCAGACTTAAAAGGAGGGACGATCGCACAACGTGTTGATGTCCAGTTTCGGGCCCCCTCGTGTTCTGGATAGGTGTGGTATGGTAGCAGGTTTGGTGGGTGGTATCAGGGTCGGCGTTGGTGTAGGTGGTGGTGGTGCACCGTCCTGGATCTCTCCGCCCAGCTCAATCTCGTGACGTAGGTCGTTTCCAGGAAAAGAAGAGGAATGGGGGACCGGTCGCTATACCCGGTCGGGCCAAGGATGATCTCGACCAGGTTAAGGTTGGCCCAAGTCACTCGCGAGCTTGGTTTTGGGGGGGTGAGCGGGCGGGCTGGGTTGGAAGAATAAGAGTAGAGAGGCAAGGAGGAGAATGAGGATGACAACGCAGGGCTCGGGGGCTATAACACGGGGCATCCAGTGGTGCGGTGCGGTGCGGTAGATGGCGTCCCCAGTGAAGCGGTAGAGGCGGAAGCTGGTGGTGAGTGATCTGGCTGAGAATGGCGTCTGCTGCACACAACGAGGGGTAAGGTACACCTCCACAGGGATTATAAACGTTAGTGTTATACTTACTAACCAGAAGGAGGGTAGGATCAGCAGGTAACTATACTTATATATAGGTGTAAGATAGGCTATATTTTAAGTACTAGTACTGGATTGCCCCTCTGTTATTCTTAAGTACAAGACGAAGTCGGTAAGGCATAGAGTGTGCTAATTGCTGTAAGAAGTCTAAAGGTATTGCGAGCCAGGCTGCCTATATGACTGCCTGTAACTCCTCTAACGTAAGGGTCTAGATATTATAGTGCCTATTAATCTAATCCTTTATCTAACTCTAGTGTAAATACTTCCAAAAGGCCTGTATCTCTATACGTTGCTCCTTTAAGAGGTCAGTATTGCGATAGATTAATAGGGTTAAAGGGGGGGTTGTTGGTAGATTATTTGCTATATTGCTGTTATTGTTAGTGTTAAGAGGAAAATGTAGGCGATACGTAGGTATCTGTTGCTTTAGCTGGCTGGTTAATAGTGATGAAGTCATAATTAGTGCTAGTACTAGTACTAATTTTAATAGTAGTTTCCTATATTAAAATAAGTACTGTCTCTTGCTGCTGTATGTGGGGCATTTCACTGCACTAACGTTTATAATCCCTGTGGAGGTGTACATTAGTGCTTAGGTGGGTAGGTAGGTTTGGTCCCCAGTCAAGCAAGGCACGGAGACTGAGTGAGTGGCGAAGACATGGCCGTTTCCTTCCTTTTCTTTTTCTCTGCATTTACTCCGTACTAGCGCGAAATACTAAGCCAAGCCACCTGTGTAGGTATCTACCGGCACGTTTTACCGAAGCAGCAGCCGTAATAAACGCCAACGGCCAACATCTCGAGTGGGTTAAGGAACATGTTTGATAACGGACGCCCTGGACCATTCCCGGGACATCCATCCCACCCATGTAAACAATTCGCAACGATATTTCACCTACCTACACAACGGTAAGTTGAGGGCCAGTCTAGTGTACCTACGTAACATGGTGGGGCAGGCAGGTCTATCAAGCATTCATTGCGCGCGCTCGCCATTCGGCCTTCTTCCATTGCCGCCCAGGCTGCTGGCGACGACCGCGGGTGTCACCTCGCCCGTTAGCGTCGAGATCCCGGATGGTAGGACCCAGACAAACTTTCAGGTACCCGCGAGGTAAATAACGAAGAGGTGTGTATAGACCCCAGACGATGCTAGCCTACGGACACCTGACAAGAGGGGGAGGAAAAAGAAGCGGAAGCGGGAGAGGAGAGGGAGGTGGAGGAGAATAGAGAGCGAGAGAGATACTTAAGGTTTACCGTCTAGATATGCAGTATGAGACGGCAGTCGATAAAACATTGTCATCGTCATCGACCACCAGGTACCGGCCAAGAAACGTCGACGGAGGGGATGCCCAAACGAGCAAACACGAGCAGGCCTAGGCCCGGCCTCTCTCTCTGTATCCCCCCCTCATCTTCCGGTCCACCAGTCCCTGCAAAACCCCGGCGCCAATGGCGTAGTGATTCCCGGGGTTTGCACTCACCACCTCGCCAAGGCCAGACTCTCCCCCCTCGACGGCGGCTGTGGTCCGTTCCGTGGAACGGTATCCGTACAGCCCGACTCGACACGACAAGAAAGGCAGGCGGCTCGCGGGTGGGATGGGGCATGGAAGCAGTATCCGTAGAATACCTACCCAAGGTAGAGGGCCCGGGGGAGAGGGGAGACTAAGGTCAGTTATTTCCGTCGGGCTGCATGGAGGGAACCACCGAGAATGGAATTCTCCGGCAAGCAATCCACCCCGATTGCCCACCAAGAAATGTCTTAAAACATGGCCAACAAACAAACAAAATAAGACTCGCTCCTTCCAGTCCTCCAGAATCACCGGCGGTTACATCATTGGCTCGGTTAACTGACCCGATCTGGTCGAGAGATGGAGTGGGGTCTATCCCTGAACGGAATAGCGCCCGGAAACGAGCGACAAGGAATGGGGTCCTAAACGGCTTTTGAGTGCACAGACCATAAGGACAGGGCTGCGGGGCTCATTATTCGTGGCCGACCTTTTTCAGTACGCGCTAGAAACGAAACCCCACCCAAAATCTTCTAAAGAGGAATATTTTCTTCGCGCTCCTTCCTTCCTACGACGTCAACAAACCTCCTCTCACCATCAAGATTGTTCCCCAAGGCCTTTTGCAACCATCTTCGAATAGGATGGAAGGCAGGCCAGCCAGCAATGCTCTCTCTCCTGCGACACTTGTGGTGTGTGCTTGATCGTCGATGTCGGACAAAGCAACTAACGTTGCTTTGTCCGTTTTTGGATTTTCAGCCTCAACCGTCGGTGACAACGTGTCCAAACACGAGGCGGCTGTTGAGCGGGCTTTGAAGGGACGCGGGCATGTCTTTGTGCTTCGCCTCTATCACCACCAGACGCTGTGGAAGGACCCGAGCCTCGATGATTCCCGGCTTCCTATTTTCAAGTCTTGAGTCTGAAACGGACGGGCCTTTCGCTTGATGCCGCAAAAAAAGGGGGAAACCCCCCACGAGATTGACATCAAGTGTTGTCGGGACCACCTCGGACTCGGCGTGGGGGGTCGCGAGATTCGTCCCTCTCGAGGACAGACTTTGGCTATCGCTAGGACTACGGCGACCAGTGGAACTAATGTCAAAACAGGACAAATATCACCGCTCCTGGAAACCACCTCAGAAATGGTAAGTCGGAGATCCTCTTTTCTCTAGCCCATTTCACCTCCATACTTCACAAATGATGAGACAATCAACTTAACACAGACCTGTTCGGAACAAATTTTGTCGAGAAACGTGCATTATTCTCCTGATCGAAGACACTTCTTCATCCACACTTTTTCTTCAGCATCTTTTCACATGCAGTCGCTGACGAAATACAGGAGACACGACGAACAAACAACATGGTCATCGAACAGGAGAGGAAGTTTCGTCGAGGCACGTCTTTTGAGGCGAAGTCCTGCGATCCAGTTGCCCCGAGACGAGACGCAAAGGGTCCCTTCCCACCACAGCCTGACTATCCAGTTCTTCATTGACCGGCGTTCTCTTGTCCGTTCTGCAGCGCGCGTTTGTCCAGCTCTACCTAGAAATAGCAGTCCGTAATACAACCTTTGTGTTGAGGCAAATCTATCCTTTTCTGTCACTTGAACATTGTGTCCCGCTCGCTCTCCGTTGTCTCGGTACTCGACGCCCTTTATCCCGATTATTCATTGAAGGAAAGTTGTTGGCATTTAACACAGCCGTCGCCCCCGCGTCGTTTTGTGCCCATGAGAAAACCCCAAGACATTTGATTCGACACCAGTAAATACTCATATCCCTCGCAATCGATAAGAAAACACCCAACCCGTGTTCTCTAGACTTATTTCGCTTTCTACTTTTCCATTTCTCTTTTCTTCCCAGTCGTATCAGGTGTCCGGCACACCGGAAGCAGACCCTCTTTAACAGGTCCCCATCGCGACACATGAAAACCACAATGATGAGCCCCGTAGCCGACACCTTCGACTTGGGCTTCGACGTGTACTCCGACACCCCCTCGTTTGACATCTTCGCAAGCCCCGGTACGCGTTTCGACCCCAACTCTTACTTCGACTTTGACGCCTGCGTCGGAGGGCCGGACCCCGACGAGGCAGCGTCAACGCCGCAGCCTACCGAGACGAACACCACGGCAGACGGCCTACAAGCCGCCGCCGGCCGGCCTCTCGTATCCGAGTCCGCACCTCTCTCCGGAGATAACCAAGACTCAACCGGCCCTACGACTTCCACAGTGAGCCCCGGCCAGCTCATGCTCACCTTGCCCAATAAGCGGCAGGGCCCTCCCACCGGCGCGTGCGGCTCCTCCCCCCTCGTGTTGCCGAAGATCGAGCCAGTAAAGTCCGAAGACGACGACGTCGGCACTCTCCTCGCCGAGCTGTCCTGCTCCATGCCCGACGCCTTCCAACTCCACACCGCGGCCCCGACGCCCGTCCAAGATTGCGACTCGCTCGCCTTGCCCGCCGACTTGTGGCCCGTGGACGCGGTCGACCCATCGTTCGCGTGGGACGCAGAGGTCAGCGCGGAGGGGCCGGGCCTTTTCGCTCCCGAGCTTCAAATCGACGGCATCTGCGGCACCTTTAATGCTTTTGACCCCTTTCATTCCTTCGATGCCTCGCCCGATATCAAGCAGGATTTGACTTCTTCGGCGGGTTACTGTTATCCATCTCCACCTGCTACCAATGTATTTTTTCCCACCCCGCAGGGCGAGATTCCTTTCGTATTCGACGAGAGTTCGGTAGATCTTCCTTATTCCCACCCTGCAGATGTGTCTTTGACGGGTCTGCAGCCCCTCCTGCCCCGTGCCGTTACCGCCGTTGCCGCGGCCGATGCTAGCAGTACGACCGAGCTCGTGCAACCAAAGCCGAGGTCGCCCAACAACTGTGTGAGCTTCATTCAACAGCGTAGTGAGTCTTTGATGGAAAGAACCTCCTCCAGTATCCTCGACTACCAGGGCCTTGTCCACGTCCCCGTCACCTCCGCGCCCTACCTCACCCCGACTCATACTCCGGTAAGGGGCCTCACCACGCCGGTCGTGGACGGCAAGGTTCTCAAGCGCATTCCTAGGCCAGCGAAGGCCAAGGACGTGGACGCTTCCGAGTGGTATGAGGCCCTCCCTGAGGCGCCGATGGCCTGGGGAGGCCGTGACCCAAAGAACCCCATGTTCCAGTACAATAAGGAGGGCGAGCTGTTGCCCAGCCTGCGGTTTTCCAGGGAGCAAATCTTTTATTACCTGAAGGAGCGCAAGGATCAGGGTCTCCCGCTGACGCTCTGGATTCAGAACGTCCCCCACGGATGCAAGACTCGCGTCAGCGACGACAGGCTGCGCGCGTGTCGCTGGTCAGGGTGTCCGGCACACAAAGGCACCATACTAAAGGGGTTCTGGCGAGTGTGCTTCGACGAGCGGCCCGGCACTTCGGGGAAGCAACACGACCCGTATCACAACGCGGGTTACATGCACTTGTGGTGCCTGGACCGCTGCTTCGACCTCTTTGAGATCGATTACGCCTTTGACCTGAAGCCCGACACGCGATACTTTGAGAAGGAGGAGCGCAACCCGATGGCCATGACGCGTGACCACGACGAGCTGGTAATGGAGTTTGAGAAGTGGCGCACGTCCCAGAGGGCGGCCTACGAGGAATGGCAGGAGCTCTGCAAGATAAACAAGGCGCTAGGCCTCCCTATCAAGAACCGCTTGGTCGAGAAGGAGGCCAAGATATGGTACATGCTGACAACCAGGCACCTGGAGCTAGAGACGCCTGTGCGAAGCAACATGCGGAAAAGAAGGGCCGGAATCTCCATTGATAAGCACAAGGGAGACCTTGGATGGTACGTTGAGAAGGTCAACGAGAAAAAGGATGCAAAGAAGGGGGGTGCCAACCCCGAGGAGATTGACGATGATGATGAGGTTGCGCTTGACAATCAAGTGAGTAGGCTGCGCGACTCGGGCCAAGTGAAAAGGAAATCAGAAGTCCGGGAATGGGATGAGGTCGATGACGGCGACAGCGATGCTCAGCGTCAGATAGCCTGTGGCAGAAAGCGACTGCGACGCTCATACCGTTCCGGCATGGGGCCGTAATGCATCTTGCTTACTGACGCCTCTGTGCGCACAAGTGGACGCGTGTAAGAATAGCATCTCCCGCCCCACGAGCTTGGAAGTCCAGAGGGTTGGTGGCATCGTGTTCCGATGCTCTCAAAATCATCGGACGACCAACAAAAGTAGTATTTGAAAAAGGGCGAACAACGGACAAAGGAAGTTGAGAGCTACCACAGCAGAAGACACACCTAGTTAGATACCAAGTGCTGAGCACACCTAACTGCAGAGATTCTACCAAGGCATGAGGAGCCCATTTTTTTTTTCGTTCATGGTGAATGCGAGGCCTGGCTGACTACCCAGGCTCAAGTCAATGACTGAGGAGCTGGAGCTGGAGCTGGAGGAGGCGCGCGGCCGTCAGCCGCTGGGACGCTGTCCCAAACGGCCGGGGGCAAAGCTGCGGCCAGGAGCTCGCGCCCCCGTCAATGGGCGGCCTCATTTCGATGTCGAGGAATATGGGAAAGCTTGGACTGTCGGCTCTTAAGGCTGGAGAGAATGAAGCAGATGAGATTTAGGCTTGGAAGCTATGAGCGGTGGCGGTTTGGATGCGGGGGGCCCTCGACACACGAGAGTTTCCGTGTGCATAAGCTAGATTGCCCGGAATGGCCATAAAAGGGAGAAACAAGCCCGGCTGGGGGGGTCAGAGACATGGCTTGAGACAGCATGGCGATGGAGACTCCAACTTGAGGTATTTGGGCACCGGGATAACAGGCAGAAGACGAATGAATAGTTGGGGGGGGGGGGAAGAGAAGGGTCGAGAAGTTGGAGTGAGTGAATGAATCGCAGCTCGAGAGGAGACACTCTGAGTGGTTGGAACGTGAACGTGCGGCGAGGCCGAGGCAGGCAGGGGCGCTAGTGCTGCTCAATGGGCAGACTCGGACTGCTGCGATGACGGTCATTGGACGACTGACGGGGATCAATTGCTCCTTTCGGCTGCAGCGCAGCATCAGGGACGGGTTGACATGGGCGCGCAACGGCGTCGACACTAGCCGCGGCCCCAGCGTTTGCGCTGGCGTTGGACGCTGGCGTCCCAGAACGGAGGTTAGTCTCGTGGGCGGAAATGGCAAGCCACTTGGCATAGCGTTGGAACAAGACCGAAAGAGGAATAGGTATTGGAACCCATTCCTCAGGGTTGCCGGTAAAGTCGTGATCGCCAAACTCAAACAGGGGCTCCCTCGCCGGGGAGAAGCAGACGAAGCAGTACTGAGTCGGGCATCCAGCAAACAATGCCTCCATCTGACTTTGTCAAGCTTTTGTTCCCTCGTTCGAATTTGTTCTCTGACTTGGGAGCCTGCAGTAGACCCAAAGTCAGTCTCTGCCCGCCGGCTTGGTGGTTAGACTACCTAGGTGGAATGGTGAGATTGGGCAAAGGCCAGCGATTCACTTCATCCCATTGCGACGAAGCCCGATGAACACTGTAAACAATCGGCGATTCGACATCAGACGGCAACAAGCCGGAACACTGGACTGGAGCCTATCCGTACTCTGGTTGAACCCTCGGGAGATGGGGGTCTTTGGACACATTATCGGTCGAAAGAAGCAGTACAAGACAGACACAGGGCATTTCGATGCGACGACTTCGGAAGCGACGTAGGATGTAGGTAGGTGCCTACCTACCATAGATGAGTAGAACCTTATTGTGTCGTTCCTTCCCAGTCTCGTAGGCTATCTATCAGATTATCAAGCCTTAGTCAGTTCGGGAAAGAGGCAGGACCAGGGCGGATAGCTGTTCCTGGCAAGGATAGAGCTGTATGTACCTGTACGATGTACACCATATGTATGGAGGCAAGAGCCACACAGCAGGAAGCTGCTAAGCAGGAGCAAGCGAAGGATGATATCGACGGCATCCTAGATACCTTCCTACCTACCGGTACCTGCCTGCCTGCCTTACCTACTACCTAACTTACCTACCTTTGAAGCTTAGCACCTGACGGCTCGCGCAAGCGGACAAGCATGGAGCACGCACTCATGCAGATCGGAGCACGGGCCAGAACATTGCTCGTGTGATGGTGCGGCACTGGGAACCTGTGCGCCATGCCCTAGGTACCTAGGTAGGTAGGTGGGCAGGTATTCTGAATTTACCCAGGGGTATGTAGGTGACTGACCTTGCATACCTACTACCTATTACCTATCTAGGAATCCGTAGGTATGCATGCATGCATGCATAGGTACGTTAATCAGGCTTGCATCCCGGCTGTTACCTCTCTGTCCTCTTCTTCTTCGCCCTACCGTTGCTCTGCAACCAACCAAGAAGGTAGGTAGGTAGTGTACTTTACCTACATAGGTGCCCACCTTACCTACTACCTACCTACTGTTGGAACCTGGAGAAACCCCAGCATCTGCATCACTAGCAGCAGCAACGTCCACCCGCCTCCACGCTTCTACCTCCAACGACTCCAATGGCCCAAAGAGTCTCTTCGAGACTCCAGTGGACCGACACCCCCCCGTCCACTCCTCTCGCTGTCGCTGTCGCTGTCCCTGGCCTGCATCTACATCTGGTCCGTGGCCCATCATCTCTGTCTGTCTGTCTGTCTGTCCGCTTGTCCACCGTCACACATGACAACATCAAGCAAACCAGTTAACAAACCAGCAGGTAAACTAACCAGCGAGCCACCAGCATCCACATGGCCACACCTTTGTACATCCACCCTCGCATCCCTGCATTCATCGTCTACATCCAATACAGAAACTGGTACCCCCCTCCACTTCATCAACCAATATCCACCCTACTACGGAGTACAGTAGGCTGAACACTCGTCCTGCCCGCCTATCCCGGGCGCACGACATCGGTCGGGCCTTCGGGGAAGCCGTCCATTATCTCACCACACCAGCGCCATCCATCGCTTTGCTTCCCGCTCTCAGCCTCCTTGTTGGAGCCTCTCGTCCCGAAAACGAGAACTGTTGTCGGTAAAGTGGAAAGAAAAGCGCCAATGCGCCGCCGCTGCCAACATCGCTCCTAAAAGCCCCAACCCTGTTGTTTCGTTGCGATCCATCAATACCCTAAACTACGCGTCTCTCACTCGCACGCTCGCATTGCCATCATCAGTACCGCATCTGCTCTTATTGCATTGCCCTGTTTTTACCCAATTCATTTTCCCCCAATCCTTGCGCGCTTCGTTAATACAGTCCGGATACCTCTGACAGACCAGCCCGTCCTCCATAACCCCAGACCTGCGCCAACCACTCACCGACGACCCCCCTCATGCCCATCCGTGCAACATCTCATTGAGTACTCGGATTCCGGATCTCCCCGCCCCTGCAATCACCAATCGCTCCTGGGCGCGCCATTATTGTCGTCCTCGGCGCGACGGTACTCGAATGCGATTCTCGTCAGTCCCATTCTACCCTCTTCGTAGCACGCTTAGTGGCCCCATCTTGGCATTTTGTGCCGGCGGGGTGGTGGTATTGGCTTTGCCTTGGTAGAGGCGACGTTGGCTGTGTGTGCCTCCGTTATCCGTCAATTACTGGCTGCAAATCTTATCCGTCAACGTTCATCGCGCAACATTGCGCTCCATCCCTTGGGCATCCAATTCGTCATGGAAGACAAAGATGGGAAGTCAGACAAGGCCCATTGCCCGGCCTTACAGGTCATCATCCTAGTACGTCTACTCTTTCTGCGCCCGGTGCACCTAGTCGTTCCGTCTCATTACTGCTCGTTTTTCTTGCGCCTCCGTCCTTGACTCTTCCGTCTCGAGCTCTGTTGCCATGGATCGCGGGTAGGCACCTTGAGGCCTGGGAATGAGACAAGAGTCGCGGTGATATCATTCGACCCGACCGGGCGGCGCATTCTCCTGCCGTTCATGCAGACGCCTGTTTCGGGGACAACCGCACCGAATAGGCAGTCCCTCCTGCAGGCACATTACACCCATGGAATCTCTGCAAGCGCAGCTCTGAGGTGAAGCAGGCAGTGGTCAGCAACTCTCCCCCCAGTCATCTTCACGGTCCAGATCCTCTCTTTCGCCCAAAGATGCGCCTTGCAACATGGAGTATGACGCTTGGCTTGCGAGTGGAATTCCCTCACACCATGACCCTCATCTTGTCTGCATCTCTGCTAACCCACTCGTAGGGTGCCGGTGGTGGTCCTCAGGAAAACAACACCACTGCTCTTCTCGTCCGTTCCGTAGCCTCGGGGTGGACCAAAGGATCCATCATTGCCGTAGACGCCGGGGTTCACCTGTCTGCCATCACCCATATTCTCGAGACGTCGGTGCCGCCAGGCCTCGGCAGTACTGTACCGCTTCCCCACACCCTCACATCCGGGCCGTTTGCCGGCCTTGAGCTTAGGTCAGACACCACTTCGATTTACCCGTCTTCCATCGCCGCTCACATCACCCGATCGCTTATCGACACCTATCTAATAACGCATCCTCACCTCGACCATATCTCCGGTTTCGTTGTCAATACAGCAGGCCTCACTAGACCCAAAAGGCTTGCAGCTCTGCCAAACACCATCAACGCCTTCAAAACTCACATCTTTAACAACGTCATCTGGCCCAACCTCTCTGACGAGAATAATGGTGCGGGCATAGTGACATATACCCGCCTCGTTGAGGGCGGGTCGCCTTCCCTTGGTGACGGTGAATTCAAGGGTTATTTGGAGATTGCCGACCGTCTCGCCGTGAAGGCCTGGTCCGTTTCCCACGGCCACTGCTTGGAAAAACACCCCCATCGCGGCTCGACCTCCTCCGCTGCGACGCCCATGCGCTATTCGTCTGTCGATGCCGCCTCGGTCGCATCGCCGCGCATTATGCCTCATGGTGCCATCCCTAGCGCTGCGTCGATCCCCCGGGCATCGTCTGTCGCGCCCGAGCCGCAAGCCAGTATATGCGTCTACGACTCTTCGGCCTACTTCATCCTCGATATGGCTACTAACCTCGAGATCCTGGTATTCGGTGACGTCGAGCCTGATTCCCTGTCACTCTCCCCTCGTAACTTGGGAATATGGCAGGAGGCTGCGCCAAAGATTGCGTCGGGAAATCTTGCCGCTATCTTCATCGAGTGTTCATACGACGACTCCCACTCTGTTGATCGTCTCTTCGGGCACCTCAAACCTTGCTTCGTGATGGAGGAGATGCGCACGCTAGCCCAGGAGGTCGAAGTCGCGCGACAGGTTAACCACCTCTCGCGGAAGCGCAAACGTGCGATAGACCCCGAAGGGATCCCACGGCGTCGAACCGGAGGTGCTTTCTCCCGGCTTGCGGGCGGTGACGAATCCCCGGTTAGTCCTAAAACGGTGGCCAAGCGTCAACTCTTGTCGGACATCGGACATGTGCCGCCGCTCCCACCGGCTGCGACATCGATGGAGAGCCCGCATCTCACAACCCCAACGAAGGAGCTATCTCTGCGGGAAGCTGAGGGGTTGAGCGAGAGCGAGGAAGGGACCCACAGGAACCTGCCCCTGAAGGGCATCAAGGTGGTCATTATCCACGTCAAAGACCGGTTGGATGGGCGAAACCAAGGGGACGTGATTCTGCAGGAGCTACGAGCTTATGAGGAGGATGCCCAACTTGGCTGCGAGTTTGTTATATCCGAGCCAGGCCAGAGCATCTACCTGTAAAGGCAGCTCAGCATGCGCGCCAGGGGCGCATACAAATCGAGACCTAGACTCGCGAACGACAACAACACGACTTTTATGAGCTTTTCACGGACACATGGAGCATGAGAGGAAGGTGTTTCTGGGGGTCTGGAAATTAAGGCTGTTACGGGGGGGGGGGGGGGGAGCTATGGACCTTGATACCGTGTGCATTTTTTTATGTTTTGCGCACATTTCTCGCATTCTATATACACACGCACACACACATGCATATATATGTGCCGTCAGATGGCCTGTCAAAACCGGTCGCTGTGGTTGCTCTTGACTCGATTTTTATATTCTTGACCGCGCAGGTGTTTGCTTTAATGTTACGTCAGCCATCTATCCTCGGCCACAGCGAATATGTCTACCTCTCCTTCTCTTTTTCTCTTCACGTCGAGTCTATCAACCTCATGGTTTGTCTATTACTCGCTCTTGGCGATCTTCTCCCAGCCCTCGTCGCCACCAATGTCCTTTTCCCAGTCCAGCCTCGGGAGCTCGATGACCTCGGTGGTCCGTCCGTAGGTGATGCCGCCTAATCTGCTAATGGGGCGAAGAACCTGTAGGCTTCCAGTCAATAACAGGGGAGAGGTATCGATGATAAAAGGAATTGTCCTCGTGGATTGGTAGTAAAACGGGGTCGGGGGGGGGGTGAACGGCAGCCTACCTTGGGGTCGACAATGTTCTTGTCGGCGTTGATGGCGTCCTCGCGGACCCAGAAGTTGACGCCCTCGATGAAGGCGACGACGCCGCTCTTCTTGCCGGGGGTGGACTTGGAGTCGTACTCCTTGTAGAAGTCGAGCTTGCCCTCGACGCTGAAGACGGCCTCCTTGACGCGCGGGGCGGCGACGTGCTTGCAGTCGCGGACAGGGGTGAGGCCGCTGACGTCCCACTCGCTGCGGCCGTAAGGGGCGTTGACGCTGGTGCTGTTGGCGGCCTCGAGGAAGCCCTCGCCGATGATGTTGACGACGCACTCGCGACTGTCGAGCAGGCAGCGGAGCGAGTCCTTGGGGCTGGCGACGGAGGCGGCGAAGCCGACGACGAAGAGCGGGGGGTCGTGGTTGACCATGTTGAAGTAGCTGAAGGGCGCGAGGTTCTCGACGGCGCCGTCGGCGGAGCGGGTGGAGAGGAAGGCGATGGGGCGGGGGACGACGGAGGAGATGAGGAGCTTGTAGTTGAAGATGGCCGGGCGGCCGTCCTCGTAGGGGTCGATGGCGACGTGGGCGGCGTCGGAGCGGCCGAGGGCGTTGGCGCCGCCGCCGTACTTCCAGTCCGGGTCGACCGTCTTGGTGAAGCGGACGTCGAGGGAGGGGTCGAAGGGCGGCCGGGACGCCTCGACGGACTTGAAGTCCGGGTGCGGGTTGTGCTTGGCGTGGGCGCTGCCTTCGGGCTTTTGCTGGGACGTCATTGTGCGGGCGAGGACAGCAGTCGTCGCGGGGGCGGTTCTCGCGCGGCGGAGAGGCGAAGGGGAGGAGGAGGTGGTGGTGGTGGTCGCGGGCGGCTGTTGGTGTAGGTGTCGTAGTCTCTGGGGCAATGCGCGCCGGCGTATCGTGGGAGTGGGACGGAGCAAGGCGGTACGGCTGGGAATGGACATCCTGGAGGCGGAGGAGGCGAGGGTGGACCACGCAGATTTATGTTCGTGGGGGTGGGTTGGGCGGTCACACTTGCAAACACACACACACGCACAAGCATACACCAGGATAAAGGCTTACGCGAGTCACTTGTTTTGTGGTTGCGGGATGACGGGCACGGGAAACCCACTAAAGGTTGGCGGGGGAAGCTCTCGCAGCGTCCCTGCTTCCTCGTCGCTCGCTCTCAGTTTTGTCAGAGCCCCCAAGTTGCTTACTGATGCTTTCTACATCGTACATACAGAGTACATATGCACCCTGCCGTAACGCGTCGCTCCTGCCGTCTCGGGTGGTGGAGCTGATGCCGAAGGCGCGGGTAGGGTCGGATATTTGCAAGGGAAGGAGGGGTTCGTTTGTCGATGATGATGGAGGGGCAAAGGTCCGACAGCATGGTGGGGTAGCACTGGAGAACCCACCCTTATTGATCCATGATGCAATTGACAGGGAAGGGTCATACCTGTTTAGGCTTGGGTTGGGTGGGGGGGGGGGGGGGGGGTGTGCCTTAAGAGGGACCGCCTTGGATACGTACCTCAGTGGTGTCTCCTCCGGAAGTGTCTACTCGGATGGGGAACCGCAACTTACACGAAGCTTCCCGTGGTCCGATCAACTGTCATGTTTCTTTTCTTTCTTTTTCTTCTTTTGCCCGTTCTGAGAGCCAGGGTTCTTCTCACTGGAGCAAGGCATCCGTGAGGAGGGGTATGGAAATCGGAAGTCGGAAGGATGTGTGTGTGTGTACTGTATATAGTGAGAAAGGGTTGGCATGTAGAGAGAGAAAGCGGCTGGTGTGTGTACCTGCATAGTACGGATAGCATGTGGCCTGGGCACAGACGATAAGATAACGCAGCGGGGGGTCTGGCTGCTCACGTACCTACACATCTCCCGAGATGGGGGATGAGTATTTCGAAAGCCATGGTGCCATGTCTCTGGCGGTTGAGAGAGACTTGAGCATGCCTCTTTTTCCAAAGTTCGGTGCAAATTCCCCATCACGGTTGACGTGGGGGACCGGGGATGGCACCCGGAGAGCTCGATCCTCGGCCCTAAGGTGCAGAACTTGGCCAGTCATCGACCGACGTTGCGAACATGTCTCGTATGTTTGTTATTGCCAGTGCGCCCATGTTGTTGGGACTTGCTGCAGCACTCACCGCGTTGACGAGATGAGATGAGTGTCTCAACAGCCGAAGCGCGCGGATGGACCTTTGAACAGCACATCTTAGACACACAAAAAACACCTCTGGGCCAGTTGGAGTTCGCGTTGAGAAGTAGAAAAACATTCCGGATTCATTGACCGGGTCTTACTCAGTGTCTGGTGATTAACAGGAGAGGAGGGGGGCCTCTATGGGGGAAGACAACATTCCCATCTTGGGAAGCCCCCCAAAGAGCCCATCCAGCTTTGTCCAGGTGGCAACGTCCCCCGCCATTCCCGTCGGGGCGCGCGCATGGCATGGCGAACCTGGGATTGGCTGCATTTCTCACGCAGGGGACCGTCCGCGCCGTCGATGGAATGTCGGGGCAGGTGGCCACTTTTCCCAGGAACGGGGGGACTGTCGACTTCTCGACTAAGGGTGAGATGTGCGACCTCAACAATCCGGGCATGGTAACACCGTCTATATAAGTCCACAACGATGGACCACAGCAAGCCCGTTGATGTTCTGGCTTCAGGATGAATAAATAAAAATAAAAAGTTTTCTCATTTGGAAGCGCTACTTGCAGAGATCAAGCACCGTCAATCCTTCCCTACGCACTCGCAACTCAATCATGAGCGCCATCCGCCCCTCCTCCTCGGCCCTCCTCCTTCTCGGCGGCGTCGCAACGCTCCCCGGCGCCGCCACTGTCCGCAGCAGGTTCCCGCAGCGCAGCCCGCCTTCCGACTCGGCCGACGCTGAGCTGGGATATATGCAACAGCCTCTCGGCCCAGTGAGCAGCAGCAGCACCCGGACGGCGTCGCCCACCGCTGTCGCTCAAAAGACCGCCCCGCGCAGCAGCTCTGCGACAGCGTCAACAGAACCGCTGCGGTGGCAGACACAGGCCTTATGACTCCCCAGGACGGCAGTGCAAATCGTCACGATGGCGACGGTCCACACGCGCCCTCAGGCTTGGGACGAATCCGATGCTGGCTACAGGCCCAAGTCGGCCAGAGAGATGGTCGTAGTCATACTTGGTCGTAATCGGAAATACTCGTCACTGTAGCCTGAGAAGTAATTATCCGAGGTGTTCAGAGAGTGGGAGAAGCGGGAAATCGGTGGCATTTGTTAAGTCACAAGTGGTGATGATGGTCGGAAAAGACCATCGGGCTGGTTGGTTTGCGTTGATTGATGGATACCATTTTATTGAAGGCAGGTCGCTTGATAGCCGGCCGTATTGCTGTAATTGGTGCTGGAATGGTAATGGGAGTAGGCTCATCACAGCCTAGGTCCCTAGCCAAGATGAGCGAGGAACTGCTATTGATGCAGTTCTGCCATGTCACCGGCATTAGTGCATTGTTGAGGTTGTCTAGGTATTCTGTATTACCTAATGCTTGTCATGGAAGAAACCATCCCTGCTGACTCAGCCTTGTCGTTCGGTGTCTGATAAGGCGTCTTATCAGCATCAAGGTTGGAGTTTTTTTAGTTTTAGTTTTATTTTTTTGGCCGAGCAGTCATTCGCCTCGAGAGGTTGCAGCCAGTCAAGTCCGTCATACTCCAATGGCCAATTTTCCATGTGTTGATATCCACCACTGTCTTCCCCCCCCTTCCCCCCTTCGTTCAAGAGCTTCACGCTCCCCACACTCTTTCTTCCCTCCATGTACCACCCAGTCACCCAGAAACATGCGGTGCGAGCATTGAACAGCTTCCACAACACTTTAACCTGCTCAAAAGGAGTTACTGTATCTCTGACTGCTGCGGCTTCTCGGCGATATCACGACAGCAAACCCAAGCCTGCCTCGTCTGTACCGCGATCCCCTTCTGCATCGCGATCCACGTCACGCCCCAGGACGGAGGCGACACCAGCCGCGACCGCCCTATACTCGATTACACGCCTCTCCCCCAGAAAGAAACCCGAGGCCTCTCCCTCTTGCTCTACCACTACTTCTCCGGTCAGCGACCACAAACAGCGTCCTCGCTTTGCCCCTGTAGCAGCTTTGAAGGCCTTAAAGACAAAGAGCAAAGAACGGCCAAAATACTACTCCCGAAACACTATCCGTGACTTCAAACCGGGAAATCCCACGCCAGAGGTTTTGGAATCGTACAAGGGAAAATCGACTCCTGGACCCGTTTGTTATCATCCCAAGATTCTCCGCGGCGACCCTCGGTCATTTCCTGGCAAGAAGGCGATCTGCATATTAGGGGGTTGGGACGATCTTAGCAGAGGAATTGGCCGCCAGAGAAAATTCTTTCTCTGCTACGATTTTCTCGTAGGGCCTTTGGAAGAACAGATACGGTCCCGCTGCTACAAGAGAAATTTACGCCTTGATACCATGGCGAACTATATCCAAGTTGTGGCGACGCCAACCGCCGATACGGGCGCCTCCCTGTTGCTTCACTTCGACCACCGTCGCTACTTGTTTGGCAATCTTTCCGAAGGAACTCAGCGGGCCTTGAACCAGCGCAAGCTTGCCGTCGCGAAGCTTGAGACCATGTTCATTTCTGGCGAGACCAAGTGGGAAAACACGGGCGGGATGATTGGCATGATGCTGACCATTGCCGACGTCATGGATGGCAGCCGGAGAGAGATAATAGCCCGGAACGAAACAAACAAGAAAGCCGGAAAGAAGCAGCTGGCCTTCAAGGGCCCCGACCGCCTCGAGATCCACGGTGCCCGAAATCTGAACTATTCCATTGCGACAGCGCGCACTTTCGTCTTCAGAAAGGGGCTTCCCATCCGTGCCGTCGAGGTCCATGAAGACCCGAGATTGACCAATCCCGAAGCCTCCACGCCTGACTGGGAAGATGACGCGATCCAGGTCTGGAAAGTTCCCATCTCCGCCGCCGACAACGCCTCGTGTGCCTTCAGCGAGCCACGTAAGAGAAGCCACGAGGTAATGACAGCAGAGGACGAGGCCTTGCAGACCCGCTCTCGTACGGATTCAGCATCAGACGAGCAGGCCAAGGCAAAGGAGCACGGCGTACTAGACGTGGTCCCCCAATACATGGCTCGTGACGACCAGGAGGAGACCAAAAGGCGCGAGGCGCTAGAGGCGATCGTGGGAGACATGTTTAGCTCGGACTGGTCCATGGACAAGTTGTACGAGACAAGGCTCTCCCAGGTTCAGCTTCCTGCTACCATATTTGTCAAGGAAGATGGCCAGCTCAAAAAGTACAATGGCCCATTGCCCGGCGAGAAGGGCGAGGTACCCGACATTAAAGTTCTTGTGCGGTATCCCTGGCCAGCGGTGAAAGTCCATTCGCTTCCACCAGTCACACGTTCTAACTCGGCTACATGCTACGTCGTTAAGAACAGAGGCCGCAGAGGCAAGTTCAACCCGGACGTTGCCAAGGAGTTGGGAGTCGAACCCCACAACTTCAAGCACCTTGCGGCCGGCCGGACTGTCGTGGGTAAAACTGGCAAAGAGGTGATACCGGACATGGTGCTTGGGAAGCCGGCAAAACCCGTCGGCTTTGCTGTAATTGACATTGCGAACACGTCCTTCATCGAATCGTTCCTTGGCAGATCCGAGTGGCAGAACGAAAGCCTGATGGCGAACGTGCCCATCTTCTACTGGATTCTTGGCCAGTCGGTAATTGACGACCCACGCATCCAAACGTTCATCAAGAAGCGACCCCTTGTCAAGCATGTCATCATGGCCCCGGACGCCAGCCCGAACATGGTGTCCATGGAATCCTACGCTCTCCTACACGCCAAGCTACGGCGCATCGACCCTGACCGGTTTCCCCCGCTCAATTACGACAACACGGTCCGGGACCTTTCGCACCTTGGCCCCAACGTCGAGGCTGCGCGTGTCGGTATGAAGGCCACTTTAGGGGGCGGATTTGAGGCAAAGAACGATGAGATTGTGCCGTTTCCTACATTCAACGAGGTTGATAACATGGACGGCAAGACGCTGAAGCTATCTCGAGCTGCCGCGACCAAGATCAGCGAGCCTGGTTTCCTCGAGGAGGTTGAAAGGGCGGAGCAGGATATCCCGAACCGCGACACCGAGATCATCCCGCTTGGAACCGGATCTGCCCTGCCCTCCAAGTACCGTAACGTCTCCTCGACCATCATCCGCGTGCCGCAGTACGGCACTTACGTTCTCGACTGCGGTGAAAACACCCTCGGCCAGCTCCGCCGCGCCTACCCCGCCGAAGAGGTCACCAAGATTCTCCAGGAAACCCGATGCGTCTTCATCAGTCACATGCACGCGGACCACCAGCTCGGAACCGCCCGGTTCATCCGTGCCTGGGCCGATGCGACCGCCCGCCTCGACCCGCCTCCCACGCTTACGATCGCCGGGACTTACGCTATGCGCCCCTTCCTGGCTGAATACAACCGCATCGAACCGCTTGATCGCGAGCGCCTGAGGTTCCTCACCAGAGGAGACCACTTATTTCCCCATGGTGATGGTTGCCTGCCGCCCGACTGTCCCACCCGACTCGCCTCCCTTCAGCTGGTCCGGGTTGCGCACTGCCAACACTCATACGCCGGCGTCTTGACCTGGCCCTCGGGCCTTAAGATCGCCTACTCCGGCGACTGCCGGCCGAGCGACGACTTCGTCGAGGCCGCCAAGGGCGCCACGCTGCTCATCCACGAGAGCACCTTTGACGACGACAAGATGGGAGATGCGGTGGCCAAGAAGCACTCCACCATGTCCGAGGCGCTGGACGTCGGCTACCGCATGGGCGCGCGCCGTGTGTTGCTGACGCACTTCTCGCAGCGCTACGCCAAGCTGCCGCTGATGGAGAGGCGGACGACGCCGACGGGCGCCGACCAGGCCGTCCTTGTGGCATTTGATCAGATGCGCGTCAAGCTTGGCGAGTTCCGCCAGGCCCAGGCGTTCTTGCCTGCCATCCGACGCTTCTTTGACACGGACGTTTCGAAGGGGGAGGAAGACTAATAGGGTAGAGCTCCTCTGTGGATAAATAACAACAACCTGAACAACCCCCAAAGCAACTTTGCCCGCAAATATGGCACTTGAAAAACTACAGAGGTTTGGCAGTCTTTATACTCACTGCCCGAAAACACGTTTGACGAGCTTGGAAATTATCACAGCAGCACACGCACACCCACCCACACACACACACACACACATAAGGCAACCAACCTCATAAGTTTCAGGGCACAGCCATCCGAGCTATGTTAATTAGGCACTTAGCACTGTTGTAGACTGAAAAGAGTAAAAAGAAAAGGGAAAGACGGGGCAAGACTAATGCTTTTATTGTTATTCAACGTAAAAAGTGATCTCAAGTATAGGACCTTAGACAAAAGGCAGTAACCAATAAAGTAGAGCAAGCTCTGCGCTACTAATGTAGATACAGCTTCAAGGCATACCGCAAATCTTACTAAGAAATAAAACAAACGGGCCTCCCTCTATCGTTTCCATTGCCCTTGATGGCCCAGTGAGCCATCACTTGCAACCTAGCAATCTAGATAAGCATAAGTCCAGCCGAGAAGATAATAATAGCCGCTCCATATATCGCCCCGACGGCGTTCCGCAACCCATCCGCACCGGATACAACAACGGTGCTCGGGCTCGAACGTGAAGGTCCTGAAGGTAGACCCGAGACCTGGCTCGCCCCCGGGGGGTTGACATCCGGACGACCTGAGCCAGGCGGGGCAGCCTGCGCAAGTGCACCTGTTGCTTGCGGGATCTGCGAGAGCGCACCTGCTGGCGAAGTGATTTGAAGATTCTGCGCAGCAGAAAGAGGAATTGCGGGTGAATTCTGCGAACCATGGGACACAGGCGCATTCGATGGCTCGGCAGCCGCCACTTATCTGTTGCCAGATGGCGAATGGTAGGGTTCGACACTTGGGGCGGTGATTGTGACTTTGCTTTGGCCGTTAACACCACACTTGTCGCAGTCTGCCACATATGTTGCCATGGGGAGCGTAGGGATTACTTGGGTTGGGCACTGGCAGTCTTCGAAGTATAGCGTGGTGCAGAGCTCTACCGGCACCAGGGCGGTAGGTTTCGTAGGGTCAACGATCATATAGGTTACGGTGGTCACTACGGAAGTGATGGCACTGTTCGGGCTCAGAGGGCTCGGTATTAATGCCGGTCGTAGAGCGCTGGTTGGCTGCCCGTTGGTTGTATTGACGGTCCCGCCGGGACCGATGACTGCGGCAGGGGCATTCTGGACGTTTGTACCGGCCGGTAGTCCAGGAAGAGATGCTACCGGCGGCACAACTGCTGTCAGACTAGGAGTGGGTATCTTGATGGCTGGATCGGCGATGGTGGTGGGTTGTACCACGATGGTCGCGCCAGATTCGACGACGGTTGTCCCTGGCAAGACGATGAGCTGGAATATTGTGAGTAGAATGTTTGTGGAAGCATCGCGCTGGAGGACGAGAGCTCGAGAGTTATGTCGCATACGGAGCCTGTTGGAGTTTAAGGCCGCATTGCCACCACATATCTGGCGAGCGTCACCGGGACAAGGTATACTGCAGCTGTCTCCTAGTATAAAAGCTGTGGCATCGAGAGACTGGGACCCGTAGCAAGTGCTGGGTGATGGTCAGCATTTAACGAAAATGATGCTGGGCGCCCCCATCGCGTTGACTTACTCGAAGATGACACCCGCGTATCTTTGCCCTTGAACCATGGCAATGCACTTCTGCGGAGTCATTTCGGCGTCTCTGCCAGCCTCGGTAAAGCTGGGATAGCCAGAGGTGGAGCCCAAACAACCGGCAAAGGTGTAACTGTCGAGTGTAGGCAGATTTGAAGGGCCTGGTTGTCTGGTTGTTGTTGTTGTTGTTGCAGTTGTTGACGTGGCGGAGGGGGGGCGTGATGCTACTTGGCAAGAGGCTAGGTGCTACAATTTTAGGAAAAGGTGTGTTCGTTGGTGGTTTTAAAGATGACGAGGATGCCTGTTGGAGGCTGTTTGAAATTAACTGTGATGCTGCGGGACTTGTAGAAGGGGTAAGAAGAGATATAGGGGTTGAGGCTGAAGCTGTTGTAGACTCTAACGTCAAGCTTGATGTGGTGATGGTGCTAGAGGTCAAGCTTGATGTGATGCTGGTGCGTGAGGTCAAGCTTGATGTTTTGCTAGTGCTTAAGGACGAAGTTATGGCCGAGGCGTCGCCAATACTGAAGAGTACGGCCGAGTCCAGATCGCCATTGGTTTTATCACATATGTTGACATGAATGTCTACATCAGGGTCTTGTTGTCAGACTGAGATCCTTTGTGCGGGAAAAAGCGGTTCGAGTGACAACTTACGGCTTTTGGGTGGCGAACAAGTACCTGACTCTAATCTTTGAAACGCCTCGAGGGATCGTAAGTCCAACCCCGTTGTCGACGTAGTCACGACAGCCTGCAGGGTTGTTTGGGACTTAAAGGGGAATGTATGTGGCTCTAAAATTCATGTTTGGGGAGCGACTCGACCTCGGGCCTGCGTCTGTTACAGACCCGGTGCTTATAATTATCCCGGAGGTGAGGCCTGGAGGCCCTCCCGTAAATTTTCCGTAGGAATTGACGCTTGGAAAAGGGCCCCCATGCGGGTTGTAGATGAAGGGGGTGTCCGTATATCCCGTAGCTTCCAGTGTTGATCCGGGAGGGTTGCCAGCCTTGACTACAAATACCGACCTTTGGAGCGACAAGGGCCGCCGAGAAAAGGAGCGCAGCGGTTTTAAACTTCATCTTCAGATAGAAAGAGCAAATAACAGCTTGTGGTCTTGGGCGCCGGGGAGTGATGAGCGTGTGTTTCTTGGTCTTCATAGAGGAGATGCTGCAATAGATTTATACAAAGAGTGGACTACGTACCGCACCCACGAGCCTCGCCTTGAGCTTCTTTAACAGAATGCGAGCGTGCTTTACTGTCGAGATTGCAGATTCTTGTTGCAACCCATCTTGAATCCCATCTCTACATATAGAGTCGAGTGGCTTAGCTGAGTGACTGATAGCTTCGGAAGTCGCGAGAGACATTTGTCGCAGTGGCGGCAGCTGAGATGCGTCCGACTCTATCGCGTTGGCCTCGTGTTCATGGAGCAGCCTTGCGAACTTTTGCCTGGGCTGGCTGTCATCGATTTCAGCCCCCCTAAGCTAGCCTGCTATGTAAGATGCTAATCGATACGCTATGCTGTTTTGTGACAAGACACATTTTTAATCAGGATGCTTGTTCAATGAATCTGTTTGGAAGGCGGCTGCTAGCCATGCCTCAGAGAATGAGCCGAAAGATCGTATGAAAGGGAGGATCTAAGATTCTAACTATAATGAGTTCAATGCAGATGCAACGCCTTATCAAGGTCACTAGTCAGCAGGCCATTTTCCTCAATGTCTGGTCCCTTTCCAACGATCCAAAGAAAAATGCTTACACGATAAAAACACTACCACAACACAATCAACATGGTGATGAGCCGCCCTGGAGTCTCCCGTATGTTCTTCGTGTAGACCGGGGAAGGTTTAGTCACGGGTTGCAGTACTGACAAGCCTCCACAACAGCACATCTTGTGGTGTCACACCCTCTAAAGCCTGGTCCCTCGGTTGTCGCTTCGATGTCATGTCATTCTCATGGTGTCGTGGAGCTGAAACAGCTTCGTGTAGCTAGTAATGCCAGTGGCAGCCGCTACAGATGGGGCGTACCACCCACACGGACCGCTTGGGATAGGTATTTCTACCACTTCTCCGGTCCATACATAGATTCTTAATAAGACAACTACTTCACCCTCAAATGATTAGACGCTGCGGTTCATCACATATGGTCACCAACTGTATGCGACGACGCCTTGCTGGCTGCTGACTTCTTTGCCTGGGAGTGGTTCCTGGATCTACGAGGCACTCAGCCAGTCCCCCTGCAAAAAGTCCAGAAAGGGGACGTGGCGCAGATGTATGTATCCGGGAGATACCATAAGACTGATTGTGTTTTCATGTTGAAGAAAATGCATAGGGCCTTGGAAAAGGGCTATGTTATTGACGCCTACATCACCAACTATAACCACACAAGCCATTGTAGTGATATGTCAACAAAGATAGACACGGCCGGAAGCGATAGTATACAGACAATCATTAGGAAGAAGTTTGTTGGCTGGGTTATGAGGGGTCACTGTTATCTAAGATCAGCGTGACTGGAGCATCTAGAGATGCAAGTCTACTGTTGTATTCTAGGGCTGTAGTATGAAGGGGTATAGGTTCGTCGAAAGCACCAAGCAAGCCATGGGCAATAAGGCATCTAGAGGCCATACTACATATATAATAACTGAAGCCACGGCCTAGTTCTTGAAGATACAATATATAGGTCAGCGTAAGGTATTCTAAGTTAAGCCTGCCGGGCCAGGGATAATACAGTTACGCAGATCATCCCGTCCCGCCCGGTGGTCTCTCCCAATGTTAGTCAGGAGGGCTATCAGATCTTGCTCGACCACATGGCCCATGAGCAAGCAAACACTTGATCGACTCGTCACTATTCCTCCTGGGTGATCTAACGAGCAAAACTACAAAGCCAGACACGGCAAGTGTACCATACATTTTCCTGCGTAATTGAGGGAAGGAAAAGAAAAAGACACATTGTCTTGGTCGCCGTCAACGCGAGAGTGGCGGCAAAAAGTGAGAGGTCCATCCAGGATTCGAACCTGGGCCTACGGAAATTCCAACCATCAGAATCCGACGTCCTAACCAACTAGACTAATAGACCCTGCGGAACGGGGGGATGATCTTCGAATCGTCCCACTACTCTGGATCGCATAGGCGGGGATTGCAAAATATGAGGCGACGATAACCATGGCTGTAGTGGGGATGAGCAATCCCTCAGCCCTTCCCCTGTTGGATGTGATGGTGGGGGAGGGGACCAGGGCAAGGACGATTGCATCCCAGGTCTGGTGGGACGGAAAGGCCCCATTCACAGCGAGCCGGGATGCACCCATTTAGAGACGTCACACCGAGACGCCGAGTTGGACTGTGTTTTCTGGTCCAGTTCAGATTTTGAAAGATGTTGTCTCTCAAACAATCCAGGAGCGCCGACATTGATATTTGGAGATGCGGATTTGGTTGTAAATGTCTACTTTGAATCGTCACCGTCAATGCTTTGTTATTCCGGCTCCCCCCTGGTATGCGGCTTCCCTCCCGCGTCCCTCTCAAATCGTCTCCGTACATGGTATTTTGATGCCCGTCACGGGATCTCCCGGTGGTCACCACCTTTGCTGGTATGACCCCTGCTGCTGTTGCTGCGGCCTTTGTTGCTGCTGATGCTGCTGCTGCGACTGCTCCCTCCTGATCTGCCTTTCGAACCTCTTCCCTTCCGTCTTCGCGTCCCTTTCCCCATTCAGACCGACCTTTTTCAGCTCCTCCCTGACAAGTCCGATGGCCTCGGTCACGACGTCGTCGCCTCGTCGCCAGGTATACAAGGCCACCCCGTGCGACTCCAGGATCTCCTGCGCCCGCTGGAGCCGGCGCATCCATAGCTCGTGCTTTCTGTTTGGCGGTGCCGTCGCCGCCGCCGGCGCCGCGGGTCCGAGACTCGGACTACCTATCGGCGAGGTAGAGCCCGACCTCAGACTGCCCGTCCTAGTCCTCGTAAAGGTGGGAAGGGTGGCCTGCGGCTGGGAGGCCGCGGAGGGCGGCAGCGCATCAAAGTCGATATCGCTATTGCTCGATAACCTGCGGCCGTTGGTTTTGCCCCGCGGGCTAAGACTCCGGGAGCTGGAAGGGGCATCCCGACGCCGAGGCGGCGGGGGGGGCGGTGGGACTTTGGCGGTCCTATTCGTGGCTGCAGGTATCTTGGCAGCGTTCGGCAGACCGCTGCTGCTGCCCACGGTTTGCTGAGAGGAGTTGTGCATTTGGGATAGTGGATGAGGGCCTGAGCGGTCGGCGGATGGCTTTCGAGATCTCGGCACAGGAGGGGGTGCGGCCCCGCCATTGACGCCAAGTGTATTCACGCTCGTATCCGATGGTGTGCTACGAAGGGCCACTGGCTTGTTTGGTAGAGGTGGAGCAGGTTTGCGGCCGACGACGAGATCGGTGGAGCTAGAGCGCGGCTTTGGCCTCGCCTTGACCTGAGCTAGGGCAGCTGTATTGCTTAGCGTGATCTCCTCTGGTTCATCCGAAAGGTCGATGAGGTCGCCCATGACTGGTCCAACAGTCTTGGCCTCACCCCTCGGCGGCAATCCTGGTCGACTCGACGGCGTATCACTCTGATGTGTGATCTTCAAAGTAGGGGCTTTCTGACGTGAGCTGCCACCTTCGAAGGAATTGTCGAAATAGCCCGCCTGCTCAGGTGTCGTGACGTCGCGGATAAAGATGGCAATGATGCGTCCTGGATGTGCCTCCACCAGCTCGGTATAGACCTCCAAATCAGCTTCACCACTGTCGCCTACTAATAGGAACCGGCGTTCTGGAAAGTCGTGCATGAGCCTGGTAAGGGTGCTCTTCTTTCTTTCCGCCACCGGTTCAAAAATTCCCTGAAGCATGCCGCTGTACTGCTTCAGATGGAGCGAACCAGGGGGGAGACCCGCGATCATGAAATAGCTTGCAAGCACGGGGAACAGCTGCCATGGACTGTTTGAGCAGTAGTGCATACTCACGCCCATCTTGTGTAGCTCGTTGTACCACTCTCGGACGCCCTCCACCGTCAGATCCTTAAGTTCCCGCACAAAGGTGTTGCGGAAGATTTCCTTGGCACCGCCCGAGATGTTGGACCGCTTGATAGTGTCGTCGATGTCACTTATCAGACTGACGCCCTTGGGCTCGATGATCTTGACCTCCTGAGTTGCCGACAGGTTCTCGTTGGCGAGAATGCGGACGTGGGTGGGAACGAACTCCAGAGCGGCACGCAATATGAAGTGACCGGCATCGTTTGTCTGCACTGTCCGTGAGGCCGACTTTTCATCATTATAGAAGAAGACGGTGATGGGCAGCTGAATCAGAGGCGTTGTCATGAAAGGTGCTATTCTTGCCATGAGGTTGGCATTTGCGACAGAGAGTTCGGCGTCTGTTAGGTCGGTGCCCGTCGTGTTCTGCCTGGATGGTGCCAGTTTCGGGGACCCAGGGGCCGTCATGGGCGTGTGGGCGCCGCTTCGCGATCTTGATCTCGCTCGGTATATGCTATCCGCGTCATCGTCGGATGCGTCCTTCGGTGCCTCACTGAATCCGCCCCGGGTCGCCACACGCCGTTCCTCTTGACCCCTCTTCTCGATTTCCGCGGCTTCCTTGGCGATCTTCTCTTGTTCCCGCCGCTCCTCATGGGATTGGTGCAAGGCGGACAGGTTGTCGGCGGGTGCAGGGGCGTCTTGTCTTGGGGCCGGGATGCCACTCAACTGGCGCGCAAGGCCGATGAGAATGCGGTTTCGCCGTGTTATCGGGCCCTTGTGCGGTGAGTACACCCAGCCCCTGACGTCGATGTCCACAATAGCCTTCTCATCCTCATTACGCTCCCATTCTTTCCTCCAGAACTCTTGGTCCCTGGCACTACCGGGCTGCTCTTCAGAGTGCTGTTGGTACTCGGCAGTCCAGTCTCGCTTAACGTGCCGCTTAGCATATGACGGAAAGATGACCATTTGGTCGTCTCCTCGAACGGTGATGGCGACGTTGGGGAACGACCCGGGGATCGTCGTCCGGGGCATGCCATCCTCCGGTTCTAAAGGCCGTATCCGCGTCTGCGCATATCCTTCTCTTATCTCATTGACGGCGGTGGCTCCGGCCCGGTATACACTGCCGGCTTTTGCAGCTAGCCATTTCCGCCGAAATCCCCTCTCACCCGGGGTTGGCAGGTCATCGGTCGATGGAGCTCCGTAACCATTGCCTGCACCGGCACCATCAGCGGTGCCGGCGCCAGTTGCGCTGCGTCCCGCTCCTCCTCCGCCGTAATTCGTGTAGTCTGAAAACGTGGGCATCTTTTTGCTTAGGTTGCCTGCTCTTTCCCTCGCATGCCGCTTCGGCTTGGTCGAGGACGGACCGAGGAGCAGCCGGCGGCTGTTGCGGGCGAATACGTCGACAAGCCTGGTTTTTTCGTTCCGTTTACGCTGGCGCTCGAGTATATATCGATATATGCTAGACTGGAACCGGTGCTTGAGCTGGGGGAGGGTGTCGAGGTGGAAGTTTAGGAGGCGCTCGCGGTATCGATCTCGTACGCTTCGCGGAAACAGGTATCGCAGGAGGCTGGTGCGGTTGTGAGGCTGCGGACGCGGGGGACCAAATCGCCCGAAGGGAGCCAGCTTGCTCTTGGTTGTGCCTTGGACAGGGTTCCAAGACGAACGGCGGGGAGCGGGACGGCCCAGAGCACGGGCGTTATGTAGGAAAGGAAATCCAAGTCCGGGGTACGATGATCGGCGGAGCGAGGCCGACGGGGCGAAGTCGGCAGGGCTGCACGAGGCTAGCAGGCGACAGCGTCTTCTGACCCCCACGCTTTACAGGTGACGGAGGGACGGCAGAGGGTGACGTGAGCACATGATCTTGAGCGGCTCTGGTGGGTGAAGTTGGCGCGACGGACCGGTACGGAGTCGACGAAGCGGGAGCACGCGAGTACGTTTGGGGAGGGGAAGAGACGAGGAGCTCGTGACGGTGGGCGGGCGCAGGCTTTAGGTTCGTGTTGGCGTGGGCGTTGGTCTCAGAAGCTCCCGGTGTCGCGCGGTGCAGGTAAAGATTGCTGTCCTGGATTGTTCTGAAGCGGCGACAGTGCTGAAAAATGCGATTATGCGGAACAAGGAGCCGGTCTCTTCGCTTCTCTCTGGCCGTGTGCTGCTGTTGCTGGTGCAGTTGATGCGATACACTGGAGAAAGAGAGGTCGGGGGGGGGGGGGGGGGGACACGGACTGACTGGCTGGACGCGAGACGGGTCGCTTTTACGTCATCCTCGCATACCTAGCTACATAGCTTAAGGTAGCTTAGCTTCGCCCAGCATGCATCGTTCAGCCAGTGAAGCTTGGCCTTCGCGGAACGCTGACGTGCTGTGCGGAGGATCTCCAGCGCTTTCGGCTTTTCCTGTGGCTTAATTGTGGCTCATTACTCCGTACATGTAGGTACAATGCGATACGATACGTAGGGTCCCCTCAGAAGGTTGCACAGGCAGGTCTGGATGGACACAGGGTGACGGCTAGGTAACATCGCTTGGCCCCCAAATGCCACACCGACGATTCACAGACCGACATCCTTCCCATCGTGTGACACTTACTATCAGGTACTGGCAGAATAGCTACTAAAGCACTGCGCATGTGAGTCTGCGATGCGAGGAAACCGCATCCAATAGACATTGCACGCTTCTGCACTATTCGCTTCCCCATGAGGAATCATCTCTAGCCAAGAAAATCAAACCGTTTTTCCACGTGGTATTTGGTTCATACAGCTTCCCTCGTCCATGCATCTCCTGTTTTGTATTTTAAACACCGAAACAAATCAGAATCACCGCTTCGTGCGAGCCAGCCTCGCCCTGGTCCTGCCTTTGGCCGGGACGTTCTTCTTCTTGGGCTGCTTCTTGAGGTTGAGCACCGCGCCCTGCCCGGCCCGCTCTGCTCTGCCCTTCTTCCACACCTTGTCCTCGCTGCGCATGGCCTTGGCGTCGAGCTTCTTCTTGTCCTTGTTGCTGAGCTTCTGCTTCTTGCCCTTGGGCCCGTTGAGCTCCTCGCGCCCAGCCTCCTTGGCCTTCTTCTTGTCCTGCTCCGTCTCAAACCACGTCCTCTTGGGTCGCGCCTTGATCTCCGCCTCGTGCTGCAGAATGTTCTCTCCTTTCCTCACCTGCATCTCCGCCTGCGCGAACTGCTTCTCTTGCTTCTCCTCGACCATGATCTCCTCAATCTCGTCCTCCATCTCGTCTACCTGCGCCTGCCACTTGTCTGCTTCCGCCGGCTCGATGATGCGGCTCATGATCTTGGCCCCCTGTGCCTTACCCGCCTTGACCGCCGCCTTGACGACCTTGCGATCCGGTTCGGCGGCAAGCGTGATGGCGATACCGGTTCTGCCGGCACGCGCCGTACGACCGACTCTGTGCACGTAAATCTCAATGTTCTGCGGCGCCTCGTAGTTGATGACTGTGTCGACGCCCTTGATATCGAGACCACGGGAGGCCAGGTCGGTCGCCAGCAGGTAGTTAACCTTGCCGTCACGGAAGTTTTCGACACTTGCGATTCTCTGAATGCATGTTAGCGGGGTGGTTTTTCCCAAGGGGGGACACTTTAGAGCCACTTACCTGAGCTTGGTTCATGCTACCGTGAAGCTCGGCGCAAGACATGCCAAGCAAGCCAAAGATGATTCTTGCACGGTGAGCCTCCTTCTTTTGGCGGAAAAAAACGATGACACGCTCGGTGTGCATCGTCTTGCAAATATGGACCAGGTAACCCATGCGCTTCTCCTCGCGTCCCGGGCGCAGGCGGACAAACTCCTGCACTAAGGTACCGACAGTCTTGTTCTTCTGCGAGTCGACCATGACTCTGGCCGGCTTGTTCATGCCCAAGCGCACCAGCTTGTCGACGGACGATGTCATTGTGGCGGAGAAGAGCATGGTCTGTCGTGACTTGGGCAGGGTGGTTAGAATCTCGTTCAGCTCGTCGGCGAAACCGTCCTCGAGCATGCGATCGGCCTCATCGAGAACGAGAATCTCCACGGTATCAACGTTGAAGCTGGCAGAGTTCCTCATGTGGTCAATGAAACGACCGGGTGTGGCGATGATGACATCGGGACGAAGCCTCAGCTCCACCTCCTGGGCCTTAAGGCTTAGGCCACCCACAGCCAGGGTGAATTTGATGTCGGTATACGCAGCCAGCTTAGTGGCGACAGCGTGACACTGGATGGCCAATTCACGCGTCGGGGTCAGGATGACGACACGGCTGGTCGGCACCTTTTTGGGCCTGTAGAGAAGACGTTCGAGAATGGGGACGACGAAGGCGCCAGTCTTTCCGGAACCAGTGACGGCGCCACCGACCACATCCTTGCCCATCAGTGCAATAGGTATGGTCTTGGCCTGGATGGGCGTGGGCTTGGAAAAGCCAACAGCCGCGAGACCTCGCAGCAGAGGACGCGACAGGGACATGGCCTGGAAGGACGATGAGGTATCCTTCTTGCCGGGCTTCGCCGGCTCTTCGGGGGCAAAGAAAGCGTCGCGCTTCGCCTGCTCCTCCGCATCCTCTTCTTCGTCGTCCGAGTCGTGATCATCCTCGGGGTGGTTGACGGGCGTCGCAACCGAGTCGTTGTCGGATGCCGCGTCGTCGTCCTCGGCTTCTGCATCAGAGGCCCCTTCTTCGTCGCCAGATTGCTTGGCGTCGGGGTCCATGCCCATGCCAAACGCATCGTCGGCCAGGACCTCATCGTCGTCGTCGTCCAGGTCGATGTCCACATCCATATCGTTGTCCACCTCGTCGTCGACAGCCTCCTCTTGTACTTCCTCCGGCTTGTCCCTACCATCCTTCTTCGTGCGCCTCCTGCGAATGATCTCGTCGAGATCAACGCCGAGTGTCGTGTTGCTGCTCATGGACTTCTTGGCTCCTTCGAAGCCCCAGCCTTCGAGTTCCGCATCGCCGAATTCGATGGCGCCATCCTGCGCAAATTCAAAGTCCGAGTCCATAGCACCATCGTCTTCGTCTTTTGCGCCCCAGATGCCCTCATTGACTTCTTCTTCGGGCGAATCCTCCTTCAAAGCAGCCTTTTTCGACTTCTTGGACGTCTTCGCCTTCTTCTTGGGAGGAGCTGCGACGGGGGCCTCCTCCTCGACGATTTCTTCGTCATTATCGGAAATTGTGTGAACAAAGTCATCGTCGACGGGCTTGCGCTTGCTTGAGGGAGCCATTTTGAGCTGTGGGAGAGTTGCAGAGGGAACGGATGTCGGGGACCGCGGGGTACTTTGCTGGCTCTCTCACACGCTTCCCCAATGCCTGACACTGTTCCAAAGCCAGAAATTTTTCTGGACGGATGGTGGAGCTCAACTTTTTCTGCCGTCCTCGAGGTGATCCCGGAGAAGGCGGTCAAAGTAGTGTGTGGGCCATTTCCGACGTTCGGACGATTCTCTGATTCTTGAGCTGGCCGATAGGAACCCAGAGCAGTACGTATCTTCTGGAATGCACGTGACGCCATTTGTCATCTATGATTGTTCCAACGTCCCATGTATGTGTACATAATACGGTACAACGGCGAGTGTTCAGTGAGTGTCCTTGGGTATTAGGGGCAACTCTCGACAGGGGGACCCCACCATGGTTGATTGGGCGACCACTCACAGTTTATTGGCAACAGTTTTTGGCCGCCTTCAAGCCCGCTGGGCGCCGACAAAGCAACGAGATTTAATTTCTGTCCTGTTGACTCTACAACTCATCTTTTTCGGACCTAACCAAACTCGGTGCCTCACTTTCCCGCGTCTCCTTCTCGACCACAACCGCGTGTCTCTACTTCTTCTCGAGCGTCTTTTCCAACGACCTTTTCCTTTTACCCGAGCGTGCATTTCGACCATTCCGACTGCCATCAGAAGCTCTCCATCCGCAAGGCCACACAAAAACCACAAAACACACAGACATCCACACACAGACAAGATGGGCGAATCCAGGTGGGCGAGCTTCCATCTCCTTTCACACCACCATATCGGCGTTGTGTTTGGCAGCATCAACAGACGTTAGCGCGTCGCAACTCTCTGCTAACATGACACGGGCTTTCCAGACAGGAACTCATCCAGTGGCTGAACCAGCTTCTGTCTCTCAACATCACAAAGGTCGAGCAATGCGGTACCGGGTACGTGGTGATCAAATACCCCTCCCCCGCCATGCGTTTATAGTGGGACCCTGATGGTTTTGATGGTGTTGCTAACCCTTCGTCCGAACCGCAGCGCGGCCCTCTGCCAGGTTTTTGACAGCATCTTCATGGATGTTCCCATGTCCCGTGTCAAGTTCAATGTCAACAGCGAATATGCCTATATTCAGAACTTTAAGGTCTTGCAGAGTGAGTATTGCGTGGTCTCCTTCCGTCCCTTCTCGGCTCCAGCCTACATCAGGTCTCTCCCCGATGAAAACAGCTCTCGCTGACCGACTGCCCTCCCCGAACAGACACCTTCGCCAAGCATCAGGTCGACAAGCCGATCCCCGTCGAGGCGCTGGTCAAGTGCAAGATGCAGGACAACCTCGAGTTCCTGCAATGGACCAAGAGGTTCTGGGACCTGAACTTCCCCGACCACGAGTACGACGCCGTCGCCCGGAGAAAGGGTGCTCCCGTCGCCTCGGGCGGCGGCCCCGCGCCCCGTGCCGCGTCCGGTTCCGGTGGCGCTGCCAGACGAGGAGGTACGACCCCCTTGGGCGGCGCCCGCGTTGCCAAGGCGGCGGGCCCCGGCACTGCGGCCCTCCAGCAGGAGAACGCTACCCTCAAGGAGACAGTCGTCGGCCTCGAGCGCGAGCGCGACTTCTACTTCAGCAAGCTCCGCGACATCGAGCTCCTGGTGCAGCAGGCAGTGGAGGAGGACCCCGAGCTGGAAAAGCAAGAAGACGGCCTCGTCAAGCAGATCCAGACCATCCTGTACTCGACGGAGGAGGGTTTCGAGATCCCTGCAGAGGGCGAGGTTGTCGACGACCAGGAGACTTTCTAGAGGGCGTAAAAGGTGCATTGGGGGTGTTGGGGGCAACGAGGCAAAAGCACACATGGGGTTGGCGCTAGTGCAAATACCCAGAGGCACGTAATAATCAGTATATTGGCGGTGATGAGGCGGAGTAGTACTCGAGCACCCGAGGCCGAAGTCGGTCAGGGCTTGTAGCGGTCCCGTCCCGCACGAGCCGTCGTGACAAAAATCAAAAAAAACATCTTGGTCTGGAGCTTCAAATCACGTATTCACGTGGACTATTCGTGGGGTGTCTGCCGTATTAGTAGGCAGATGAATCATTCTCCAAACTCAGCCGGGTCAGGCCTGTGACTAACGCTATGCAGATTCGGCCTCGATCATGTCCGGGGAAGGGAATATTACTGTCTGAGGACTTGCTCCGGATGGCTTGCCGAGCCGACATCCGAACCCACGCATGCCTGTGTGGGCAATGTAGGTAAGGTATTCAAGGTTGGGAGAGAAACCTAGTCGATCAGTGCCCTCCCCCGCTTGATGTGTCATCTCAACTAGATCACGTACTTCATCTATCGTCTGACATTTGCGCGAATGAATGGGTGGCAATAGTAATACTGGATACCTGCATTTGTTCTATAGCATGCATGCATCATATCCTGCAACACTGCCTTCGGTGTGTGTCTCGGTGCCTGCGTCGGTCTGGGCGCGCGTGGGCTTCACCTCCCGAGAGGAGAGTCGTGACCCAGGAATGCGGTCATTCCCCTGCCGCGGACCCCCTAGTTGGTACCTTAGGTAGTTTAAGGGTTCCACGCAGAAGCGCCACAGGCGTTCGACAGCGCACACCACCAGCGGAGGGCGACCATAACCGTCACCCCTTGGGCTACCTACCGAAAAGAGGGGAAAAAACAAACAAATCCTTAAACCTTTTCATTCATTGCCTACCTATTTCCCTCTCCTCTTTCTCGGAGACATGCTAGGTGGAAGAGACGAGACAGGACGACAGGGGACCTCAAAACAGGCACGAGCGGGCAGTGGACCAGACCTCTTCAAGACAGGCGTGGCCCCCGCCGTGGCTGCTTCTGGAACTGGAACAGCTGCTGCTGCACACTTTACCTAGTGTACACTCACACCCGTCCATCCGCTGCGGGGGCATAACCTGGAACCTGGGCCTGAACCTGGCCGCTGAGGCGAGCCAGAGACAGACAAACGTCGGCACCCGACACCAAACGAGGCTTTGTTGCTCTCGAGAGGCCCTGCCTGACGCAAGCAACTGACCAACTTCATCATTCCACATAACAACGCATACACATAGCAAAAACCCATTATTCAACTTGTGCGACGAACCCCCGTTCTTGCGACCATCCCATTCGACGACAGCTTCTCCGACTTCCTTACAAAACACCGTCAGAACGCTTAACCAACGTCCATTTTCGAAACTTCCCGGCGTCACAGCCTCTTGTCCTCTCGTCTCGTCCCATCCTCCTCTCTCTCTCACCACCCGCGATCGACGAGGGGAGCTACAGCAATCCAACCACCAGGCTCATACGATTATACGCCCCTCGTCCAAAACTCCCGACCGTCGCATCATCAACCCATCCTCCATCACCACCGACGGACACCCCAATTCCCGTCTCCCCTCGGCCACGCTTCCACCATGGCGCCCCCGGCCGAGATCTCCATCCCCTCGACCATCCTCTCGACCGGCGAATCCAAACCCTACACCCTCTATAACATCACCCTCCGTCTGCCCCTCAAGTCCTTCGTCGTTCAGAAGCGCTATTCCGACTTCGCCGCCCTCCACCAAACCCTCACCTCCCTCGTCGACTCACCGCCCCCGAAACCCCTCCCGGCCAAGTCCTGGTTCAAATCCACCGTCTCCTCCCCTGACCTTACCGAGCAGCGCCGCCAGGGCCTCGAGGCCTACCTCCGTGCCATCGCCGAGTCGCCCGACCGCCGCTGGCGAGACACCACCGCCTGGCGCGCCTTCCTAAACCTCCCCTCCACCGGCGTTGGAAGCACCTCCAACTCGGCCGCGAGCGCCCACGGCCTCATCACCAGCGGCCGCGCCGGTGCCGCCGACCCCACCACCTGGCTCGACCTCCACCGCGAGATGAAGACATGCCTGCACGACGCCAGGAACCAGCTCGCCCGCCGCGACGGCGCCGTCGATAGCAACAACAGCACCGCCGCCGCCGAGGCTGGTGCCGCCGCCAAACGGTCCCTCGTCAAGGCCGGTACTCTGGTCAACACTCTCACCGACGGTCTGCGCGCCATGCAGGAGGGCGGTCGCCTCGGCGACGGTGAGCTGCGGCGTAGGAGGGACCTCCTCTCGTCGGCGCGGGTCGAGCGCGAAGGGCTCGACAAGCTGAGCAACAGCATGGCGCAGGGTACCAGCCGCAGTGGCGGCGGACGGGAAGGGTGGGCCTCGGTAGGGGACAAGGCCGCGCTGCTCGGTGGGAACCGCAACGGCGGGGCGCGGACAGGGGGACGGGTCTTGGGCGCCCCGCTGCCGGAGAATGAGCGCACGCGGGAGCTGGACAACGGCGGCGTCGTGCAGCTGCAGCGGCAGATGATGAGCGAGCAGGACGAGCAGGTCAACACGCTGGCAGCTATCGTGCGCCGGCAGAGGGAGATGGGCTTGCGGATCAATGAAGAGGTGCAGGAGCAGACCAAGATGCTCGACCGACTCAACGAGGACGCCGACCGCGTCGGCGGCAAGATTGACGTGGCCAAGAAGCGCGTCGGCAAGTTCTGACTTCGCCGCGCGGCGACGGCAGCGGCGGGGCCCGTCGCGCGGGCCGTTGTGGGCGCGCTGGAGGTTGTCGTTTGGTTTCTACGGGTCGGCGGGTGGATATTGGATGCTTTTGCGTGGTGTTTGGAGTTGGCTTCGCTTTTGCTCGCGCCGACTCATCGATGACGATCGCGTGCGGTTTTTTTTTTCACTTTTACGAAAGGGAGGGTCTTTGTTTTTTTGTTTTTTTATTCTTGTTGTTTTCAACTTTTGTCATGCACTGGGGGGTAAATTATGGCGTACATACGTGCAGAGACGATTTTCGCATTTACATACCTCCTCCGCAGGAAATAGCCTACCCCTCTTCCTCTGTTTGTCCCTCGTCTAGTCGAGAATGGAAAATAGCAGTACGGATGCTGTGTTGGCCGATATATAAGCATGCCTTTGACATCCACGTCCTCTGGATTCATGCCGCGTCAAACGATGAACATTTGTAGAGACCGAGCCCCATCACTTTCTCGGCATCAGCCGCGACGATGGGGGGGGGGGCTGATATGCCACTGGCATTACAGTACAGTAGCTTGTCGAGAATTTGGTAGGGCCAACTTGGACGACGGGCTTTCCAGACTGGACTTGGGTCCGGATGGAGGGTCCATTGATAGCAGGTATAGTACCTAGGGAGCTAGGCGACTTGGGTCCGGGTGCAATGCCGTCGTCCATTTTGAGCCTCGAGCAAATGATATCTCATCTTGTCTTCTGGCCCCTTCTCGACGGGCGTGCAAGGCAGCTGTTGAATAATCTCCAGTCCAAGCCCCCCCTACGCCACGAGCTGACGTGTTCTTGACCTGTATTTGGAGTGCCTAGTATTGATGCGTTTGACTATACCTGGCGTACGGAGTGAAGAGCCGCAGTCTAAGCTGCGCAGATACCAGCCGAATAACGAGTTCGATGTTTTGGACAATCCAGCTTCGGGCGTCTGCTAGTCCTGGGAGCCGGCTCCGTTAGCCCGACAAAGCAGTTCAAACAAGATACCAATCCTACCGGGATTCCGGTCGAAGCAGTCGTGAAGAGACCGTGATCGACAATTCGCCGGATTGCAACCGGGCTTAGCAGAGCGTGATGAGATTGGTGTCCTTTCAAAACAACGGGTGTGCCCAAGGAAGGACGCGACACCGTTTTTCGCGCCGGTCCGTCCCTCATGCACATGCAGACGGTTGCTTATGGGCGAACCCTTGCCGTTAATGGCAGGTGTGGGTGCATGGAGGCAGGTGCTACCACACCGTGATTCCTCCCGTCTTCTGCATATCGGCACAGAATCATGGTGAAGCCACAAGCGAGAGACTCGAAGATTTGGGCGCGGGGCCACTCGTGGAGCCGTCGCCAGGTCCTCGCCATGTCGCCGACTCATGAGATCTCGCAGGTGTCCGGCGTCGGATGAGCGGATGATCCGTTCGAGCTGTACGGGAACCACAGGCGTTGCCGGCCGGCAAAGGGAGATAAACGTCTAGTGTGGAACATGTACCAGCCAACCCACTTAATGAGCTCTAATACGTCACCTGGGCGCCCCGGATGGGCACTGGGTGCAAGGGACTTCCCGCGGTTGCTGGGCAACGAAGCCGAGCCACCGTTTGTGACAACGTGTGACAGCTGACATTGGGAAAATTGGCCAATATCACAACGTTACAGTTGGCGCCTAACGAGGCCCCAGCCGCGCATTGCGGAGGACGCAGTTGCTATGCTCAATAGTCGAGTTCCCATCGAATACCGAACATAATCGACCAAGGGACTCCTAGGAGACTGGCCTTTGGAAAAAGGTCGCCGGTGCCCTAATAGGTATTGAAACTGTACGGGACTGGCGGAAGGCTGGTGGACACCACTACCACCCCCTCATCTGCACTCCTTTCCTACACCCAAAGAGGATGCGTGATGGCGCCGAAGCCCTACCAGGGAATATAGCCTCGATGGCCGCGATTCGCTGTGGAGGCTGGCTCTGTGGACCTGACCCCCCGGTGACTCGTAGTGATTGACCGCTCAAAGGGCGACAGGCGACTCGGCAAAAGAGCATCGTATAGCCAGGGGATCGTATGCAATATCTTGGGATTGGACGGTCTCAGGAGGGGAAGAAGTTCTCAGGACCCTTGAGACCGACCGGTGTTTGCTGTTTTTGCCTGCTCGTTGGAGCTGGGCGGGGGATTTCATGGGCTCAGCAACCGAGGTTTGTTGTGGCGATCTTTTGGCGATGAGTGGGTGAAAGTTCCGTTGCTGGCGGTGAAGTCGTGTGTCGTCCATTGGTTGGTCAACGCTCGTCTGACCTCAGGGCTGCCAGAGGAAACGGCTTTGAGAGGCGCCTGTCAGTTATGGGGGGGAGGGGAGAGGAGGAGAAAATGGGAGGCAACGAACATGGAGCATGGAGGTCGACGCCATGACAGCCTCCGCCGCAAAATGGTGGTGGCTGGGGGCTTGGTTATGCGTACGGTTGTCCTTTTCTCTCTCTCTCTTTTTTTCTCTCTTCCTTTCAGGGTCTTGATTCGTGCAGGGAACATGCTCTCAGCCTACGAGGTCAAAGCTGGGATGGCGGGTTGGTTTTCTGCTGACATACACACCTTCGTTGTCAATCCACTATTTCGGTAACCGAGGACTAGTGCGTGCATTCCTATGTACCTGTTGCAAGGCTCGGTGCTAGCAAAGCAAAGCAAAGCAAAGCGAAGCAAAGGAAGACGATAGACGGAGATAAGAGACAAATAGAAAATAGTGGAAATCGGAAGGTGGAAGGCGGAAGGCGGAAGGCGGAAGGCGATCCAACTGCCTTGGTGGAAGCTCCTGACATTCGGTATAAGGGTTGTCTGTGTGTTTGCTCCTTCCTCTGCCCGCCTGCCTGTCAAGATGTCACCATCTGGTTGCCATCTTCGCTTAACAGAGATCAGTGACTGTAAAGTGGGGCGCCGTCCACTGGGAGCCCTCGAGTCATCGACTCTCTCAGTGCTGTAACAGCCGCTAGCGCCCTGGTCTACTTCTCTCTGTGTCTAGACCTTCGCCTAGACCGGGCCGGGTGTGCTGCTGGTGCTGCGGCGGCGGCGGCGGTGGTGGTGGTGGTGGTGGTGGTCGCCCATGAGAAATTCCCAAAGTAAACACAAAAGAAATCCCGACCCCTTCTCGTCTTCCTCCTCGCCGTATTTTCTCTCAACACCACCACCACCACCACCACCATCACCTCCTCCTCCTTGGGCGCCGCGTTACCAGACAGCTACATTCCCTCCAAATCCGCCCTTGCCTACTAGCTCACAGGGCAAATCCAACGACAACAAGTCAATCATTCCGTCTCGGTCCCTTCCCCCGTGTTCGGACCAATTAGAGCACCGGCAAAAAAGCGCAAAGGCCGAAGCGGAAGGACACCAAGTTCCGCCCAGGCACCCGAGCAATCAGCAAAGCCTCTCGATACCGCATATCCTCCCTCACTCTTGCTTGCTTTGACGCCCAAGTCAAGTCCTTGCTGTGCTCTTTTTCCCGCGGTTTCTGGCGTTTGTTTATTTCCTGCATTTGTTGCTTGTGAGTCTTTCCAGCCTTTCTTCTCTCATCACCTTGCATTTCGACCCATTCTATGCTTCTCACCATCACATGCCACCCGTCCTCAGCCCCTCTTCTGCTGGAAATTTTCTCATGGCTTTTGTGCAGACGCCTCACGACTTTACGACCGTCAATGGACCTCTCAAGATACCACTAGACTTTTGTTTTCTTCATTTGCTCCGAGACGGAGCTCCATCTAGGTCAACAAATAGTGCCATCGCCTCGCCACCAGGTGTTGACGTCTACTCGACATGAGCGCTCCTCCTCCGCCTCCGCCCCATGGCGAGGCACCCAAGACTACCGCCGGTTCTCCCCCTCCCGGCGCTGGCTTGGGTGCCGGAAATTATGACATCTTTGTCATTCCCCAGCGCGACAAGGGTGGAGGCTTCATCTACTTGCCCTCTCTGGCCCCCAACGGCCCCAGCTTCGCTGCTGGCTTCGCATGCGCTCTCGTCCTCGTCGTCGTCTTCCAAAGCATGGCCCCGGCCTTCAGGGCATGGTGGGGGACCTACCAGGGCATGGGCAACATGGGCATGACCCTCCTCGTTATAGCCGTCGGCGTGGGAGCCTGGGCTTGGGGAAAATCACAAGGTCAGGGCTCTTCCTCGGGCAACGGCCACAATGCCAACTATCGCTCTGGTCCTGGTGGGTACGGTGCAGGTGCCAACTTCGGCGGCGGCGGCGGCTATGCAAACACCGGCCCGCCGCCGCCTCCTCCGCCTCATGGCAACCAATACGCCGGCGCCCCTCCGAACTCCCCGCCGCCGAATCATGGGCCGGGAAACGGCGGTCCTAGACCACAATGGCAAGAACGACCACAGCCTCCACCTCCTCAGGAACCTGAAACTGAACCTGACCCAGAGCCTGAACCACGCAAGCCAGACCCTCCCCCGAAACCAAAGCCTGATCCGTCCAAGGGCGCCTGGGAGAAGGCTCGGGAGGAGACGAAGAAGCGCGAGCAAGAGCGCAAAGCGAAGGAGGAGGAAGAGCGCCGGAAAGCGGAAACAGCACGGAAACTCAAGGAATTTCGCGAGAGAGAGGCTCGCGAACGTGCGAGGCGGGACAGAGAGGAACGAGAGAGAAGGGAGAAACTTGAGCAGGAGATTCGTGAGAAGGAGGACCTCAAGCGGAAGCTTGAAAAAGAGCGTCAGGAGAAGGAGAAGCTGCAGCGTGAGAAGGAACTGGCCGAGCAGGAGGCCAAGGAGCGCGAGGCAAGGGCCGCTAAAGAAAAAGAAAAAGAAACCAAGGACCGCGAAGAGGCGCGGAAGAAGGAGGCTGCTGAAGCCGCTGCCCGCAAAGCTCGCGTCGAAGCACAACTCGAAGCCTTTCGGAAAGCCAAGAAGGAGCGCGAAGAAGCGGAGAGGGCCAAGAAGGAGCGAGAAGAGGAGGCCGCTCGCAAGGCCAAGGAGGAAGCGGATCGCAAGGCCAGGGAGGAAGCGGATCGCAAGGCCAGGGAGGAAGCGGATCGCAAGGCCAGGGAGGAAGCAGATCGCAAGGCCAGGGAGGAAGCAGATCGCAAGGCCAAGGAAGAAGCGGATCGCAAAGCCAAAGAAGAGGCGGATCGCAGGGCCAAGGAAGAAGCGGATCGCAAAGCCAAAGAAGAGGCGGATCGTAAGGCCAAGGAAGCCGAGGCGGCTGAGAAGGCTCGCAAGGGAAGTAGCTACGCATACTCGTCGGTTGGTGAGAAGACGTGTATGTGGCCCAACGGCCGCCCCCCTGCTTCTCCCACGACGACGGCCTCGACGCCGCCGAAACCCCCCCCCTCTGCTTCGTCCGCTCCCTCAAGACCCCCCCCTTCAGCCAGCTCGGTGCCGCCCAGATCGGCGGCTTCTGCAGCTTCATCTTCCAACACAGCCAGGCCACCGCCACGCCCATCGGCACGAACAGTCGACGAAGATCAATACTCGTACCGGCCATACGATAAACCGAAACACAGACCCGCGTCCTCGGTCGGCTCCGAAACGTCATGGGCCCCTTCGGCCACCACGACAAGAACGACGCCGCCGCCTAGCATGCGCGGGCCGTACACGACGAAAGATCCGGACAAGATTGTCATCAAGGCCGTTTACCTGTTCATGAACCAGTTCGCCAAGACGCCGGCCAGCCAGCTCGTGTCGGGGTTTGGTACAGTAACGGACGGCCTCATCCTGCGAATCACGACGGAAGGCCTCTTCATCGACGACGACGTCCGCGGCGTCCCGCAGCGCGAGTGGGACGTCAAAGCCTGGACGCTAAAGCTGGTCGAGGTATGGTGCCCCCCGCACTGCTTGAATTCCAATGCTGCTCCTGCTCCTGCCCCTGCGACTTCTTCGAACCATCCTCATGCGAATTTGTTTCAAAAAATGGCGAATCAGCGAGCCCGTACGGCGGACAGAGGTGCCACGAAGCCGCTCACGGGCGACGAAGCCGATGCCTACCTGTCCGGAATGTTGCGTGCCTGCAAGACTTGTTGCCATCTTGGCTTGTGCGACACGAGGTTCAAAGACACTAACGTGGCATCGCCAACCGGACAGACTGGGGAGTGGAAGAACAAGAGCCTGCATGTTCTGCGCGCAACGATTCGCGATCAGGAGGGCAAGCGGTACATGTTCGTTTTGGACGAGGAAGAAGCCTGGAAGGTAGCCGTGGGCGTGCAGCGTTTGCGCAAGGGCACCCAGGTACGCTCTTTGGGTGTCAGCGGAATGAGTGCCTCTGACGCCCGGGGTACGCTCGAGACTCTGGGCTGGTCATGAGATGCGTCTGCTGCCGACGGTTGAAGGCGGTTTTCGATTCGGGTCAATACCAATTTACGGGCGGCTGGGGGGGCTGCCTTTGTCGATATAATAATGTGTGGCTGGGAGATTTCGGTGTTGGGAACTGGGACGAGGAGACCAGGCGTCTTTCTTATATACGCCGCCCTCAAAGGCCCAAGGGGACGTGCCAAGTTGAGCTGGCATACAGCTCTCGTGGAATTCGGTTGCATAGCAGAGCGAAGGACGGTTGCATTCCAGGAAGCAGAAGCCGGGATGAAAAACATTGGTCAACAAAACGATTTCACGTAGCATCAATGGATGGATGGCCCATCTGGGTACCTCGACCTTGCGAACGAACCACCTACCTGCACGCATAAAGGCTCTCTCGGCGGAGTTGGCAGTATGAAGGGGGTTGAGTTCGAATAATGACGATACGATTCCAACATTTGCCTATTATTGTTCATGTGAGAATGGCCCTCCACGACATCAACAAGGCTGTTGACGAGGCGGCAACGGTTTGTTTTGGTGCAGTTGCCAACAACGGGGGGCCATTTATTCCCTCTCGGTACTTATCATGACTGGGGTTCGAGCTGGGTGGCCCAAGTGACAGCTGTCATACATGGTGACCCAACCAAGCAACCCCGCGAGCGAAGGGTTTGCTTGGTTGGGTATGGCAATCAAGATCATTGACGACGCACTATGCCCGTCTTGTCGTCCGCGCATTCCACGCACCTGCTTGCCCATGTCACGTAAAAAAGCGGGCTGTGAGCGCCGGGTTCCCACTTTCTCATCTTGAATATGGTAGCGAGTGGTCCCGTCAAGTACCTATTTCACTGGATATTCTTCCAACGATCGGTGAGAGGGAGGGGGCGGCTGGGGCCTCCGGCGCGGCGGTGACGAGCCGCAGCCTGCAAGCTGCAAGTCCCGCATATTATTGATACCGACTCCCTCCGGATTTGGAGAAAACAAGTACTCGCCTTGCTGTCGCTGCCATCACTGCTGTCGCTGCCTATATGACAACGAGCCTATTAGACGCCCGGGGACGCAGTGTGCAACACCGTTGAGCTGCCATACATGGTCAAGCCAAGAGGCATTTCGAAGTCGTGAGTAGTTCAGTGCAGAGGTCGGCCCAGGTCTGCCAGACTTTACCGGCCCGCAGGAGAGAGAAAGACAACAATGACATGTGGGGAACCGTCTCGTCGGGAATGCCGGGACAATTCAGCTTAAACGTCTCCGGGTGGTGCGTGCAATAACAGATGTGGTTTACCGAGGCTTCCTCGTAGCAACGAGGCTGTTGAGATGCTCGCCGGCTAGTGATAAATCAGGTCTGTTGCTTCTCGGTGCCTTAGCATTGTGCAGCCCCGACATACGCCATCGCCGAAGTTTCCCGCTTCCGCCAAGTTGACCGGGCCCGATAAACCGATGCAACTGCGGATACCGACATCGGCCAGTCCTCGATAACATTCCGTTGATAACACCCTCCGAACCAAGTGGAATCTCTATCCTGCATCATGTTCATCCCGCTCCAAAGTCCTCAAGAAACAAACACGCATGTAACCCAGGATCATCGCGGTCCGCCACGGCACTGGCTGGAGCATTTCAGGTAAAGACACACATCCCAGGGCGAGTCACTTGCTAGTGCGAAAATGCATGCATGCCCTCGTGGAGTGCCGCGATAAGCAGCCCCAACGTGACTCCATCCCCGCCTTCATCGACATGACCGAATCAGATAAGCCAATGTTGTCCCAGGTGGTTGCCCATTGCTTTCTCTCGGAGGTCCTGTTTCTAAGCAATCAATCCCGATCAAGCCCAAGCGCAGAGATAGCCTGAACTGGGCGAAGAAAAGAAAGCCCACCCTGCTTGATCATCCTACACCCAATTCATTATATGCGTAACAAGCTGGAGTACTTTCATCTATATAGGATGTCACAGCCACGTCTCTCACCTCGCCCGGCCACGGACCGATGCAAGACTGAAGCCTCGTTTCCTTCACGCTTCCCATAATGAAGGTCTTCGCTCTCCTAGCCCTTGTCGGCCTTGCCGTCGCCGACCTCATCCAGACTGGGGCGTCACTGAAGCTCGATGACGTGCATTATTTTGTCTCACCCTTCTCCCAAGGCAAGCCCTCCAACCGCTCCGTCAACGTCAAGTCCCTCCCTCGTGCCTTCGGCTTCACCCCCGTCACCATCGTCTCCGACCCCGTCCGCGAAGACGGTCTCGTTTCTCTCTTCTCTAACTGGACCGCCAAGGACGACGTCTGGCAGCCCGCCTTCCTGAGCGTCATCTTTCTCGCAGGCGCCGAAAGCCCTCTTATGACGAAGACCAGCTACGAAGGCAGCAACAAGACGCAGTCCGTCGTCATCCCCCTCTCCGCGGGGCGCAGCATCCCTTCTGGCCCGTACTTCCTCGACACCTACACCGGCAACGTTTACCAGGCCTTCCGCCTGTACGATGACTTCGCCGGGGCCTTCTCGGAGTCCCTCCTCCAGACGCCCGACGGCACGTTCCAGACCCTGTCCGCGCAGGTCCCCTCCACGGCGTCCCTGACCATCGGCGTCCCCTCTCGCCTCTACTTCACGCCCACGGCCGAGAAACCCTTGGCCGGCGTCCGTGTTGGCGTCAAGGACATCTACGCCCTCGCCGGCGTCCGCGGCTCCAACGGCAACAGGGCCTGGTACTCCCTCTACCCGCCCGCCAGGGCCACGGGCCCCGCCATCCAGAACCTCATCGATGCGGGCGCCATCATCGTTGGGTACCAGAAGCCGTCGCAGTTCGCCAACGGGGAGATGGCCACGGCCGACTGGGTCGACTACCACGCGCCCTTCAACCCGCGCGGTGATGGGTACAACGACCCGTCGTCCTCCTCCTCGGGTGCCGGTGCGTCCGTCGCCTCCTACGACTGGCTCGACATCGCCGTGGGGAGCGACACAGGGGGCTCCATCCGCGGGCCGGCCGGCGTGCAGGGCCTATTCGGCAACCGCCCCTCGCACGACCTCGTCAGCCTGGAGGGGGTCATGCCGCTGTCCCCTGTGCTGGACACCGCTGGCTTTCTGACTAGGAACCCGTACCTGTGGGACGAGGCGAACAAGGCCCTGTACAGAGGCAACTACACGTCGCTGGCAGGCGTCGAGGTCAAGTATCCCAAGACGCTGTACACGCTCGGCCTCCCAAAATTGGACAGCATCCCTCCTGCGCAGGTGCCCGCCGCGCGGATGCTAAACAAGTTCGCGAGCGACCTTGCCGGGTTTCTCGGGACGAACGTGACGACCTTCAACCTAACCTCATCGTGGGCCTCTTCCGCCCCGGCGGAGGTCAGGAACCAGACTCTAACGGACGTGCTGGGGCTTACGTACGCGACGCTCATCACCAAGCAGCAGACGGCCCTCGTCCGCGACCCCTTTTACGCCGACTACGCTGGTACGTCCATACACACACACACACACACACATATATATACACACATAGCTGCCTTCTCCATCCTTCCCCGTCGCTGCCACAGTTACTAACTCCACACAGCCACCCACGACGGCCGTCTCCCCTTCGTGAACCCCGTCCCGCTCGCCCGCTGGGCTTGGGGAGACGCCCAGCCGGCCACGGCCCTCGCCGAGGCAAAGGCCAACAAGACGCTGTTCGCGGACTGGTTCAACACCCGCGTCCTCCCGCCCGCCTCCGATGACGCCTCGTCGACGTGCTCCTCCGGCCTCCTGCTGTACGTCGGCAGCGCCGGCATCGCGAACCCGCGGAACCAGTACCCGTCCAGCGCGCCGAGGCCGCCGGTCGGCTTCTCCAGCGGGCGGCTGAGCGTCTTCAGCGGCGCGCCAGACCACGTCTTCCCGCTGGGCGAGGTGGGCAGCGTCAGCATCGTGACGAACCACACCGAGGTGCTGCCGGTGACGGTGGACGTCATGGCGGCGCGGGGGTGCGACGGGCTCCTCGTGCGGCTGGCGCAGGACCTGCTCGCGGCCGGCCTGTTGAAGGTCCCCAAGGCTGGGGGCACGCTGACCGGCGGCGAGGTCCTCATGAGGAGGGATGTGCATGACTGGCTTTGAGAAGGGGGTTCGTAAGACGCATTCTAGGAGACAGTGACACGACTTTTAATGGTAATATTAAATGACAAATAAGTTTGACTTTTTTTCTTCCCTTGGCTGAGAACACTCGCCCCAACGTGCTTCGAATCCCCTGACCCGTTCCGAGAAGTCACAATGACGAGGATGAACCACAATCTCATTCGAAGTTGTCGAACGTTTACAGCGAGGCCACACCTCGACTGGCAAGATCGATTCGCCAAGATCGTCTGATGTGTCTCTTGCTTAAGATCAGACGTTCAAACCAGTGCCGAGTCGAGGACCCTCGCCCGCCCAAGAACGAAACTAAGCGAGAGAGATGCATGGTGCATCAGCATCTTGGTGCAAATTTGATCCGATTCATGTTGCTTCTATTCATCAGGATGAAGTATTCATAATGACCTAGACGATGAAGGAAATGGTATACTTCGGAGCTGTACTTCTGGACCTGAGCCCTTTTATCTTATCCCAGCTCGTTACGGCTCAGTAAGAGTAGTTGACCGTATCTGCGCTCAGAACCCCCTCCTTTACAGGCCCAATTGTAGGTTTCGTCGCCATGTAGACCTGGGTCCCGGTCTTGTTAGCAGTCCCTCGGTATGGTTGCGTTCGATTTCTCCCTTCGTCTTTCAGTCTTGTACCAGTGCTGCTGGTGACCACTCTGCGCCGGCCCAACACGAGTATAATGATAACAGTGGGATCTGGTACAGGCTGCAGGCAACAAAATCCAACCGTAGAGTTCCAGGTTGTAGTCCTGGCACATCACCTCTTCGAGTCGGTGTCTGCAAAGGGGTGAAGCGTCCGTTGTCCTACAGAAACCTTGGTGGTTCCTAGTCACAGCTGAGTTGACCATATCATACGGTTCAATCGTGGCTAACCTATTATACCTAGCCGTGGGACATAACATACTAAGACACCATGCTTTCTGCAGCAGTGTACTTTCCGAGCTCTTTCAAAGCATTCTCGTGCTCTCTTTGGATCACTGCGGCGTGATGCGAAGACCGGGGTGTGATTGAGCAAGGGAACGGCAACGGGCTCGAGTTGAAGCCGTCCGAGTAAGCAAAACTATGAAGAAGCCCGTCAGCCCCCGTACCAGTGAGCAAAGGACTGAGCATACTCACATTTCGACGTCAATGTCTCTGCCCTTTTCGTCCTCGGCGGGACCTACCGCGAACACCCAAAGGATCCTCGCGATGTTGAGCGCGACCGACGCGGACCCGAGGTGCATGCCGGGGCAGATGCGGCGGCCCCAGCCAAAGGCGCTGTGGCCGAACGCGCCGGGGTATTCTCTGCGCTCCGTGAACCGCTCAGGCCTGAACTCGTGGGGTTCCGGGAAGTCTGCCTCGTTGAGATGTACTACGGATCGCGGGTCAGGAGACAGCCGGCCGGCTCGATCGATTGGAACTTACTACTCCATAGAGGGGCGATGATGGTGCTCCCCTTCGGTATGAACATACCCCTGTACGTGTGATCCGCCGTGCTTGCGTGAGGAGTGCCTCCGAGCACGGCAACCGGCCTCCAGCGTAGAATCTCCGACGCTATGGCTTCGACGTCCTCGAGTCTTGCCAAGTCTGTGAAATCCGGCAGTCGCCCACTGCCGACGACCCTGTCAAGTTCTTCTTGGGCTTTTGGTATGAACTGCGGACCGAACTTGGCGCAGGCCAAAAGGAAGCTGGCCAGAGACCCAGCCGACTTGAGAATACGGCGTTAGCAACTTGCTGCCTTCAAAGAGAAATCCCACCCCCCTTTTCTTACCGTCTCAACGCCCGCCCCGAATGGAGACCCTGCCGTGTAAGCAATCTCTAGATCCGACATACCGAGACTTGCCTGCTCCTGTAAGAGGTGCCTCGCAAAGCAAGCCGGCGCCACGCTTGTGCGACCTTGGCTCGAACTTCGTCCATGAGCTCCGTGTAGAGCTGGACGTCTTTTTGTCTTTGTTCCAAGACTTCCGCCTTCCACGGGGCCAGAAAGCTCGGGACGTACTTGAGCACCGGGTACCGTTCAACCGCAAACTTTCCGGGGATGCTAAGAAGAGTCGGTGTTTAAGAATACTTCCGTGTTCTCCAGCTGGGGAATGACATACTTGACTGCGGTCAGACGACCCATGGACTCGGCATTCCGCTGGACGACAATGTCGGTCGAAACGTCCTCGACCCTCCTGCCGTACGTCACCGTCACGATGGCGGACGCCGCGTATCGCTCGAGATGCTTCCTGAACTCTCTGGGTTGCGCGAGGAGCTCGTGAATGAGGACCTTGGACTCGAGACTCTGGACCGGCCGATACGTCTCGCTCTGCCTCTGCATGGAGCCGCTGTGGAGGAGCTTGCGCCAGCGCCTCCAGAACGGCGGGTAAGGGGCCATGAGGCCCCTCTTGCCGCCGGACAAGAGTTCGCCGCCCGTGATGAAGCGCGTGCGAGATGAGAAGATGGCCCCTTTCTTCTCGAGGAGATCCCAAGCTGCCTGGGCAGACCCCAAGACGATTGTTGATGTCGGCCCCATCTGGAGATACACGACATCGCCGTACTCCTTGCTCAGCTCCTGGAACCAGATCCACGGCTTGTTTATGCCGGTCCTGATGGTTTTGGGCCCTGGTGGTAGCTGAGAGCGATGAGAGTGTAGCTTCCATTTCTGTTGCAACTGGTTGGAAGGGGAGGTCAGCCATCAATCGGTGCGTACGGTTGAGGCTTGGCAGACGGTCGTACCGTAGGCAACGCCAAGACAAGGTAACCCAGACCGACCACCGCAGCCAAATACGTGAAAACGTCGAAAGTCGTCATAATCTCGTTATGTAGAAGGCGAATCAATGACCAGAGTCTCCCGTACGAGGGGGTATCAGAACGTTGTTCTTTCTGGCGGTCAACCTCGGCAAAACTCACACATATTGGGGTAAAATTGAATCATCAGAAAAGATATAGTTATTGCGTCAGATGGAAACACAGAATCACCGAGGTCGACAACGTGCTTAGCGTTACGACTTGACAGTCTGACAACTGCCGACCGTGACGGCAACAGCCTATTAAGCCACCTCCGCCGTGATATGGTCATTCACGAAGGCGTAACTGGGTCTTTGAGAATCCCCCACGGTCAGTAGTCCCCCAATGAGACAAGGCAACATCGGACATGACAGGCCCATAACCCCGCAATGGGGCCTGACGTGGGTTACGCGGGGGAGGACTCTGGGTTCCAGGATCCCCCACATGGCCCGTTGGCTGGCACAGGACCTACAAGCGTATTAGTTGGGCGCGGGTAATCATACCCTGGCTTCGGGTAGCACCATCGCGGCAGTTGGCAATGGATGTTGAAAGACAAAGCGGAGAGATACATAGTGTACGATGTCCAGTTTGTATGACGGCCTGAAGGCCGTGCTTGGAGTACAAACCAAATTGATTTCGACTCGTTGCTTGTTGGTCTTTCGAGATACGATCGCGCGGTCATGAAACCAAATACCTCGGGCTGGCTTAGCAAGCCATTCTTGACAGCAGTCCTACTTGGCATAGGCGGGTTTTTGTATGGATAGTAAGTGGAGGTTCTCCCCTCCTAGGTTATCTGGCAGGCATTCTCATATCTGATTCCAGCGACTCAGGAATAATAACTCCCAGCTTGGCACTCAAGTCGTTCTTGGTGTACTTTGGCAACCCCAGTGCTCCTTTGAGAGGGTCCATTGTTTCTGTGTACCAGGCCGGAGGTACATCTCTTTGTTTACCACCGGTGCTCCCGAGACTAACTACCCAACCCCAGCTTGGCTGGGCAGTGCCTCTGTTGGTATCACCAGTGACAGATTTGGCCGTAGGAGGGCCATTGCTTTCGGCTGTATATGGGGTGTCATTGGCGGGGCGATAATGGCTGGCGCTGCCCACGTCGCTATGCGTGAGTAGTCGAATCTTGTAAAAAGTCTATACTGACGTCGTTCCAGTCATTATGGGTCGTCTCCTGGTGGGATTCGCTGTTGGGACAATAACCGGCGTAGCTCCCGTGTTCGGGGCAGAAATTGCAAAGGTAGGTCTGCTTTGTTAGTGTCCGTCGATCTCGCGCCCCAGTTGAAGTCTGACAAGCCTCGAGACACACGAGCGAGCCCGAATCACGGCTGTCAACCAGATGAGTAAGTCATATTTCTGTCAAACCTATTCAAGTACTGAGACGTACGAATAGTGGCTGCTTGGGGTTTCTTTGTCGCATTATGGACTGGAGTGGGTGAGGGAAAGTGGCACAATTCAAACCAATGGCGACTTGGGGTTGCGATACAAAGCCTCCCGGCTCTCCTCCTGGGATCCGGTGTTCTCTTCGTCGACGAGTCGCCCAGATGGTTGTGTCTCAAGGGTCGTTACGAAGAGGCCGAGAAAGCGTTTCGCAACTATCATTACGACGGGTCTAACGACGATTGGTGCCGCAATGAGTTCACCATGCGGCTATGCTATCAGGCATATCATTCGTGCAGTACTACCAGACGGCCATCTACGCCACGTTGCAGTTCAGCCAAGACCAGCAACTCTTGGTTAGCGGCTTGTACGGGTCGGTCGGCCCCGTAGCGTGCTTAATTTCCCTGTTTTTCGTCGACCGTATCGGCCGCAAGAAAATTCTGGTCATCAGCTCATCGCTTTTGTCGGTCTGCTGTTTTGGTCATAACGATCCTGGCTGCGGTATATCCCGCGAGACCCGGGCTTCCCACAAACGATGCAGCCCAGCGTGGTCTAATCGCCTGCATATTTGCTGTTTCAGCAAATTACTCTGCTCTCTTGGGACCTATGACCTGGATTATTCCGTACGTCTGCTTGTTTGAGCAGGGGATTTGGGGGTCTGTTCTGACTTCCTTCTAGGCCAGAAGTCTTCACGACCGAGTTACGAGCCAAAACGAACGCCATCGTCCAGGTCATCCATTACTCCATCAGTTTGATCATAACTCAGTGCTCTCCTATTGCGCTTGTTGATGTGGGCTGGAAGTACTACGTAGGCAGATGCGGTGCGCTCTTGTGGAACCCAAGCTAACTCAGTGTCCCCAAATCCTCTTCATCTTAACCAACGTTCTCTGCGCTGTCATCTTTGCAATATTCTACCCCGAGACTAGAGGTAAACTTTTATCTCCAAGCCCCCGTGGAACAATTCAACGTTTCGTAGGTAAATCGTTGGAGGAAATTGATGAGATCTTTGGAGACGTCAATGTTGTTCACAATACCGACTTAGAAGAAAAGGTCGGCGTTCAGGAAGTGGAGTTTCGCCAAAGGAAGTAACTGATGAACTCAAGATGCTCAAAAAAGTCTGGACCCTTCCTCGAGTTCATGGGCTATCTAGATGCGAAAGCTTTGGCTGGCTCCAGTCGGCCGAGCAGGGGGTTCGTTCATAACCAGCCGTGGCTCGAGCCATTGCAAAAGAAATTTCAATGATTTCACTGGAAATTCTCAGCAAGTCAACTACAGTAACCTCTATCTGGTTAAAGTCCTAAGCGGAGGACCAAAGTGTTGCTGCCAGACCCGTATCCAAAACAGACTTCACTTCACCAACATAATGTTAAACAAGTACCCTATTACATGTTTCCTTCATATCTCCCAGCGTGCCTTCTCTTACAACAAGCCATTGAACATAATTTTGCGCCCAGAGAAACCAGTAAATCACCTCAAACATGTTGGTTCTTCGTCTCCCTCACAGGAACGTACGGCGGTGGCTGAACAGAGCTAGCTGCCTCCACGTCTAGAGCGTCTCGGGTCACCGCCATCGCCAGTCTCGCTTCTGTCCGTCTTGCCGCGTTGAATCTCGTCACTGTCCGGATCCTTTGCCGCTCTGCGATAACCACAAAGAGGGCTATCAGGAATAACCATATATTCAAAATCGTCAGGACCATCCAGATAGCGCATACGTTCCTGACGAGCCTCGGCCAAGTGTGCAGCCGCACGATGTCGATGCCGGTAAAGCCGAAGGTTTGCAAGACTATCCATAAAATAAAGTACGCGAAGACCGTTACGCCGATGCTGATCGGCGGAAGGCCGATGCAGTTATGGAGGACAAAGCCGAGGAGCATGCTGTTTTGTGCGATGCCCACAAGGATGGCGAGACATACGATGACGCTTTGGTTGGAGTCATTGGGCCGCATCATGCTGTAAATCGCCGTCAGGAGTACAGAGGCGGTGATGGACAAGATTACAACCGCTGACACTATCCTTGGTGCCGAGTGGTAGAGGCTCGTTGTTTTGTGTGTTCGTCGTGGAATCACCGGATCTGGCCCATACCAGGCGTGTGGAACGGATTGACGCGGCATTGTAGCGTGGTAAAAGACTGATCGGAAACTATGATGTGCCAGCGAACTACCACGACGGTTGCTTCCATTTATGAGTATTGCTGAGTCTGGCCGATCATGTCATAAATCCCGCTGTCACAAGCGGCAGAGGACTTTCAAGTCATTACCCTGATGACGAAAAACCCTCTCATCATGACCGAACAGGCGCTTCGAGAGTTTCTCGTGATGAGAGAAACTTCGGTGGCGTCATTGGGAGCAGTCACTATTTAATACCTTGATAGTGGCCGATGAATACACCACGACCAGGTTTCCTTAACAATCTGCCATTGAGACCAAGGAGAGCTAATGAGAATGATTTCTACCAAAATTGAGACTCGGGCCAGAAAACAAAGTGAAGTTTCGATTCGATGGCTCCCTGAGAAATATCGGACGATTTCAAAAGGTGGTGGCTGACAGGGGTTGCTTCAGATAATTCAAATAGCTGAAGTTGCGGCAAGCTTCGACCGGCCAACCATATTGCGCGGTAGGCTAGGTTCTGATAACTATACGACAAGACAGCTCTCAACAACTTCCCAAGGAATCGTCTGCGATGGCTTGGCAACATACATGAAGGTGGGTGCCCTGATGGAGACGTATCTATGTCTGGACGATGTGGTCGGACGATGCTCGGACAAACAAAACCCTGCTCATTCAAGACGGGAAAAGCGCGAATTCTCGCCAACATTTCTCTAACTGCCGAACGCTTCCAAATCCTCTCACAACGTTCCCCTCAACTGTGCAGTTTCGGACACAGGACGGTGCGCAGATATACCATTTGGAACAGGTTCTATTGAATGCCTATTGAACGCTTGTTGTTCATCAAGTCATCAACCCGTGCGTCCCTACGAGGGACCGCCATGGCTACGGTCACATCATCAAGTCCGTATGCCCACCCACAGAGACCCGAAACCCGCGCTCCATCATCCTGCCTTTGTGTGTGTGTGTGTGTGTTCGCCGACATGCCTCCGGACCCAGTGCCCAGCTCCGCGCCAACGTAAACACCAAGGCCTTGGATGTACTCCGTACAAGCAGAATACGTGCGTATTCGTACGATACGTCCACGGCATCGAGGCTTCCTCCCTCCCCCTCTCGGTTTGTGCCATACATACCCCGCAGGCAATTCGTTCTTTCGCGGGAGTTAACGCGACAATGCAGCATCGACGATGCAAGGCCTGACTAATGCGCGCGTTACAGGGTTTGGGGTGGTTGGCAGTGGACTCAACTGTGGGGGTTAGCTGAGCTCTTGGCCATAAGCATGGTGTTTCCGGTGCTCTGTACTGATTGGACGCTATGCCCAGCAGGTCTAGAGCTTTATGCCAAGTTTGTGACTGAACTACTTCGCAAGAGGCAACACCAAGTCTATTTGTACTCGTTCACAGCCAGAGAAGGCGATATGCCACACATTCCAATCATTGATGCATCGCCCTCGCTGGCAACTCCGTCGGTGCGCTTGGCCTGTAGGTCGGAAAGGTTACGCCAAGTGAGCTCGAGATGCGATTGCTGACTTGTCAAAGCTGCAGCCTCATGTTCACAGGTGGGTATGTTACTGTACTCAGATACTTGTCGTCCATACGCGTACCTACGACCCATCCGGGTCCCAGTTATCCAGACCCACCAGACTAGAGGACACATGAAAAAGACATGGGCTCATCCAGGGTTACACGGCCTCACTCCCTCTCTCCCACGGCTCGATCAACCCCTGTTGAATCGCGCGTTAAGCCTGTGGATGAGTGATGGCCCATCCATGTTGAGCTCCGCCGTCTACTACTACCTAGGTAGGTACCTACCGGTAGTGTAGTGTAGACCGCGTGTGCCTGTGTCAATGACATCAGCGGGGGTCTGGGATGCCGTCACGGCCGGCCAGATTCCCAAGCTACCCCTCCATCATACCACTTACTGACCCCGCCAGCACCCTCTGCGACCTGCTATCTAAGACGACCGTTTCCCGCAGATCTTCTTCCTCTCTTTTCCATCTTCTCTTTTCTATTATTCCCACTCCAAAAGAAAGTTTGATACCCCCTTTTACCTCCTATCCAAAACGCAAATCACGTCAACACCGCCATCATGCCTCAAGGAATTCCTACCGCCTCCCGTCTTCTGGACCTCTTCAGCCTCAAGGGCAAGGTCGTCGTCGTCACCGGCGCTTCCGGCCCCCGCGGCATGGGCATTGAGGCCGCTCGCGGCTGTGCCGAGATGGGCGCCGACCTGGCCCTCACCTACTCGTCCCGCAAGGAGGGTGCTGAGAAGAACGCCGCCGAGCTCGAGAAGGAGTACGGCGTCAAGGTCAAGATCTACAAGCTCAACGTGAGCGACTACGACAACGTCGAGGCGACCACCAAGCAGATCATCTCGGACTTTGGCAAGATCGATGCCTTTATCGCCAAGTGAGTTTCCCCCCTCTGCTCAAGGCCTTGGCCCAAAGGGATCATCCCAACGTGTTGCTAACGACACCCTCCACCAGTGCCGGTGCCACTGCCGACTCCGGAGTCATTGACGGCTCCAAGGAGGCTTGGGACCACGTCATCCAGATCGACCTCAACGGCACCGCCTACTGCGCCAAGGCCGTTGGTGCCCACTTCCGTGAGCGCGGCACTGGCTCCTTCGTCATCACCGCCTCCATGTCCGGTCACATCGCCAACTACCCCCAGGAGCAAACTTCCTACAACGTCGCAAAGGCCGGCTGCATTCACATGGCGCGCTCGCTCGCCAACGAGTGGCGCGACTTTGCCCGCGTCAACTCCATCTCTCCCGGCTACATCGACACCGGCCTGTCCGACTTCGTCGCCCAGGAGACCCAGGAACTGTGGAAGAGCATGATCCCCATGGGCCGCAACGGTGACGCCAAGGAGCTCAAGGGTGCTTACGTGTACCTCGTCTCCGACGCCAGCACCTACACCACTGGTGCCGACATCGTCATCGATGGTGGCTACACCTGCCGGTAGATGCTCCCAGTCTTTTTAGTTGTGTTTAAGCGTAGCAACAGGACATGAATACAGGGCAGGATAAGGCTCTGGACATGATGTTATGACTAGCTGGATAAATAATAGACAAAAAAGTAAAAACCACCACACTTGATAATGTTTCAGACCCTTTGCGCGAACAGGTTACAAATGTTGGACAATATGATGCTTCCTAAAATTTCAAGCAAGTCTCCGTGAAAAATCAAACATAGTCCAATTGGCAAATTTAAAGTGCATGTCAAGAAACGGTTGTCGGATAAGTGTACTATTGATGTTCGAGCGACCATGGAGCACTGGCTAAGCAGGTGCTGGTCAAGGCTGAGGCCACATTGTGCTCTTCAACCAGACTCACGGTTCAAGATGATGATGCACATATGATGACACGCCATAACTTCATCGCAAAATCACAAAAAGTCTTAGGTAGCCACAAGCAGTTAGCTAGTGTGGACTCACCATCGAGACACTCCACATTGCGGGTTCTCTCAACTTTTCAATTCACCCCCCGCCAGTTTTAGCTCCATACATGCAATTGAGACTTAACTATCTGTGAAGAACCGAAGCGTCTGTTAAAGAGCATCTAAAGTAGTTGTCCTATCTAGAATCTACATAGGAAACGAGATCGGGTTGAAATACCCCTTCTAAGTGGGTCATGCCGTTTAGTGAGCTACATCTCCGGCGTTCACCACTGATACTAGCCACACGAAGCTATCCCAGCTTCACGACACTATAATACTAACACTGAATTTTTTCAACGCTTAATCTGCCGCCGTGCATACATTATCGTAGTCGCGATACAGTCGAAACTTAGAAACATATCGTCCCCGCAGATTTGGTCTTTGGGCTACGACCTATGGTGTAAAAATCCCAACGAGTTGATATTTATGTGAATGAAGAGCATTTTATGACTCTACGGGCATGTGGTTGGCCCCTTAGTTGCTTCCAGTTTCTGGCTACGTTCAGGCACATATCTGCCTAGGAAAAGACGAACATAGTACTCGGCTAATAAATAATCTAGCCGTGAGCTTTGGCATACCGTATCAAGTCCAAAGTCTTGTATGTACTAGCAAGGATCTTGCTTGAACAGACTTTGCAATTGTGACAATCTTACATCAGAATGAGGACTGACACGTATTATAGGCTTCATCCCGTCTAGAAACAGCCTGTTGTCGGATTTCGCCCAGGAACTAAGATATAGGAGAGGTCCTTAATGCGACTGGCGATGCGTTGTATTTCCCGGGTCTATGCTTCACCCACAACTACCACAGGATTGGGGGTTTCTCGGATGCAATCTATAGCAATGGTCTTGGCCAGACATTGATGGGGTTTTCACAATAGCATTGTGTACGGATTGTAGTACGTGTTATTACTAGCTATATACCTAAGCCTATAAGTAATCTCCTCTACTAGGCCATATGTAGATGTAGCCATAGGATCTATATATCAAGGCTCAGATAGGATCTCCATAGTTATAGTGCTATTATTCCTTACGTGCCGATTACCGTACCATCATTCAAGGGTCGCACTATATATCATTGACGAGTCAAAGTCCAGCCGGGGGAAGCCTGTTCTCAAACTTATTTGTTGGCGCTACTTGGTAACCCGCATGCACCAAAGACATCCATTTTATAATTACGGCTCGACCATTGTGTTCTGAAACAGTCGGTTGAGGTAGCTTTACTTGCGAAACGTCCGGAAATCAAGGGGCTTTCTTTCTTACTCCGATGTTTGGTACATTCGATTCTGCGACTGCCTTTTCGAAGCTTGTGGCTTCAGATAGCCATTACATGTAGGTATCGCTAGTACAATTTGATATTGAAATCCGATTTCGTCCGCTTCCTATCGCATCTCAATCACGAAGACGCACCAGAAATAGGAACAAGATCGATAGAAACAGAAACTCCGCCACCGAGGTCGCCGCCAATCGACCGCTTCTGTGTCCCCGCTTCGGTGTACAAAGCCAACCGAATCGACTGTCTGGGTTCCTGCTCACCGGAGATGGTCGCGACAAACAGGTATCTGGGATCCTCAAACTGGCGGACAGGGACGTCAAAGGTCCACTGGCCGCCGTTTTCACCCTCGGCAGGCCGGTCGTTGATCCCGGCATATGCCTTCTTGAACTCCTCCCTCCTTACATCCACCCACAGAGAATGAACGCCGAGCGATCCGTTTGGGTGCTTGATGTTCTCTGCCACGTGGTTAGGTACGCGCAGCTCGCGCGGCGTGCGGTCGAAGCACCAGAACGGCAACTCGCCCCTCTCCACGTCTGCCCCTGACCCCGTTCCGACGCCGGCCGGAAGCGCAACAGCCCACTTCAGCTCCTCGCCGTCTGGTCGAATTCTTCCCCCGGGAACCGGATCATCGTAGGCTGCTATTGACTGGGCGGCGCGCACACGTTTCTGGATTTCGGAAAACCCGGATTCGTCCTTCAGAGAGTACGCCCAGTCGATGACCGTGCCGTCTGGCTTCGGGCCCCATTTGTGCTTCAGGCGCTCCTCCTGACTGATGCCTTCGACGAAGGAGATGAGCTCGAGATATGTGCCATCGGCGAATATGACAAGCTTGTTTTCAGTAAGCCCATCAGCATGGCGGCCGCCCGTGAAGATGGTGAATTCGGAGGAAATCCATGACGGGAGAGAGGCGAGTACTTGGTGGGGGACAAGAATGACGATGTGGTCGAGGAGAGGTGTATTTGAAGCTTGGTCCGCTGATGAAGCCATGTGAAGTTTTGCCCGAAATACTTTAGATGAGGTACTCTGTGCCGATAAAGCGAATGAGTTGCTGGTTCGGTTCCTCTTACCATCTATTCATCCGATTCTCGGGGCATCATCTGGTATTTATCGTTGCTTTCCCCGCGCGCCCCACTATGTCACCATTGCAGATAATCATTGCGAAGAGGCTGATGGAGTCCGTTATCGGTTAACGAATTTGGAAGAGCAAAGCCAGCTTTCGGTGAAGTATGAGATTCCTCTTGCAGCTTTCGGAATGTCCTGGCAATCAAGACCGAAAAGTCTCGTTATCCAATTTTCGACATGTTTGACTGGATGATCCTTAATCGGCATCGCTTTCCAGTAGGACTTGAGTCGATGGCCCAATCAAGGGATTGAATTGATCTAAGACCCTTGAGCTCGCCTCTCGATCATCTGGCACCACTTCAATATTCGTCGTGGCTATCAGGCCAATGGAAACGCCAATTTATCAGTCGCGTTTCCCCTCCAGAACAGCGTACCTACTGCATTCGTTGGATGACATCCCCGTGAGTCTGCATGGATTATGCTACTAGTCAGTCAGGACTCTCAGTACGCGCGTCGATCGGAGCTAGGCTGGGAGTACAGTAGGGTGCAAAAAGTCTCGGTACACCTCACAGTGCGCTACCTTAAATACACTACAGGAAATACACTATATCTCTAGATATTAGGTATAAAGGTAAGATATAAAAATTATATATAAGTACCTAGATATATAAAGTATATTATAGTGTACTTATAATTCTTTTTACTTTTTTTGTAGTAGAGATATAAAGTCTAGATATAAATAGGTTTAGGTTTTTGACTTTTTTCTTAAGGAAATACAGTGTTTATACGATATTTATCCCCTATAAGCTTACTATCTCTAGAAAGTAAGAGACACTATATTTTCCCTCTTATATTACTACCTTGGTAGGTAAGTAAAATAGATATTTAAATACAAATTATATAGTAACTTAGTAAGGCTATTTACTAAATATTTATTTTAATTTTAGAATATCTACTTAGCTTAATATTGCTTATTATAAAGTAGTACTTTAGGTGTATACTGTGCATGTGGACTGTGATTTCTGGCACCCCACTGTACGTAGTAGACTCCTGTAATATACAAAAGTGCGAGGAAACAACAGATTGTTAACACTTTCAGATATTCGTATTAATCGCCATTGTTATTTACACTGTTAGCCCCCAATTCGGCTTCTGCGTCCTCTTTACAGCTTTCCATAAAGATGGCAGCCCGTTTGATTATTTATTTGATGCCCCCGCCAGGGTTAGAAGCTCAGCTGAACACTCCTGGGTTACCCCCGCACGTCTACTAACATGTTTGATCTAGTGATCTGCGACTCCCACCCCCCTCGAGCCCATACATGGTCATAGCCATGACCGTAATGGGCAGAGAATCATACAAATGCTGTTGTACAACGGCATCGGGTAAACAACCCCAGTGATGTGGCCTAAAACTTCGGCATGGGCGTTAATTTCCGTATCTTCCTTCACTACATCAATCCCACGGACGCAAGTGTTTGTTTGCCTCATTTGATTCCTGTGAGACAGCAGGGGGTTTGCGCTGTGAATAGAGCCATCCTACACGACTTTCTTGGCAGTCCAAGGACCGCTCCGTTCGCATTGTCACCTACAGCATTCTGAGTCAAGTCGCCTTCAATCGTAAACAGAGAAACTTGAAACACCGAACCTCCGCCTCCCGGTCAGCCCGAAGCCCCCTGTATCATTCGTTCCCGAGTCCCATTGAGGCTTATGTTCCTCCAAATGGGAATTTTGGGGACTCCTTCAGCTTCAATCGCTTGGGTTCCACATATTGCACCCTGCCAGAGTGGCAGCGAACACGGATGGATTCCTAGCCTCCCGTGTTACACATGAAACTCCAACCGTCTGATGCAAGCCCTCGTTCAACCGGCCTCCGTGGTGCTTGCCGCATGAATTTCGTCGGACAGAAACGATCATCAGATGACAGAATTGGTCTTTCGCAGCCTGTTTGTGCCCACTGCGGACGTGGAAGAAACCCACATCCATGCGTGATTCTCCCCCCTCGTTCGCCGGCGTCGCTTTGGGCTGCTATTATTGGTTTCCATTATAGCCAGGGGACAATCCTCGATCACCTCCCGGCAGTAGATATCTGATGCGACCACCCGCCGCTCTTCAGCCCAGTCGATCTTGGTCCTTCTTCTTGGGACTTCCCACAACCAGGCCTTTTTTTTTTCTTTTTTTTTTTTTCTTTGTCGCCATTCGCTTCAGCCGATCGCTTCTTTCTTTCTCCTCTTTGGAGTGAATCCCTTCTTTTTTAAAACAATACCAGCGGTTTTTCACGTTCTCTTCTTCATTCGCCTAGGTTCTGAACATGGTCTCAAAAACAGCCACACTTCTTGGTTTTGTGGCGGCGGTGGTCGCCAGGGTGCAGTTCTTGGCAAGTTGACACGATGATCGGCGAAATATGGGACGGTGTCTAACCTTTTGTTCAGGGAGTCGCCATATCTGGCGGTGACTTTGGCTGCGAAATTGATGTGAGTTGCGACATAGTATCTGTAGAAAAACAAAAGCTGACCAAAGATAGGGAAGCTGTCCCCTGGGCAAGGTCCAGCTGCCTCTCAGTTCACTGGGAGGCGGCGATGGCGAAGGGCAGATGAAGCACTTTGTCCAAGACGACAAGCTCAATATGTTCCGACTGCGTAATGATATACGACACCTTGGATGTATTACCCTTCAAACTAACAACTCATAGCCATCGGCTGGCAGTTCCTCGTCAACAACCAACTCGGCGGACAACTCAACTCTAACAACTTCGGCCGCTACGACCAGGTCATGCAAAAGTGTCTCGCAACAGGGGCCTACTGCATGCTCGATATCCACAACTTTGCGCGGTGGAACGGTGGCATCATCGGTCAAGGCGGGCCGACTGACGACCAGTTCGTCTCGCTGTGGACACAGCTTGCGCAGAAATATGAGAGCAATGAAAAGGTCGTCTTCGAGCTGATGAACGAGCCGCACGACCTCGACATCAATCTGTGGGCGGCAACGTGCCAGAAGGTTGTCACGGCGATCCGGCAGGCTGGTGCGACGACGCAGATGATTCTGCTGCCCGGAACCAACTTCGACTCGGCAGCGCAACTCGTCAGCAGCGGCAGCGCGGAGGCTTTAGCGGCGATCAAGAATCCCGACGGCACGACGGACGGCCTGATTATCGATATCCACAAATACCTCGACGAGGACAACAGCGGAACCCACAAGCCGTGCACAACCGACAACGTGGATAGTTTCAGGACGGTCGCCGAGTTTCTGAGATCCAAGGGGCGCAAGGGGCTGGTTAGCGAAACAGGCGCCTCAAGCGATGCCTCGGTAAGTTTCGACGTTTATCCCTGAAGGGGAGCCCGAGACTGATTAAACATGTAATAGTGTTTCACAAGCTTCTGCGCGCAGAACACTTTTATCAACCAGAACTCTGACGTCTTCATCGGCCTCGTCGCATGGGCCGCTGGTAGCTTCGACACCAACTACATCCTCAGCCTAACGCCCAAGAAGTCAGGCAACAGCTACACCGACAACCAATTGATGAAGCAATGTGTTCTCGACACATGGGCAAATACGGAACAAAACGTAACGGCGCCGGCAACAACGGCGCCTCAGCCCGTAGCTTCTGTAGCCCCTACCACTGTTCCGAGCAGGGCACCAAGTTCGGCGCCGAATCCAGCGCCGAACCCACCGTTGAATCCGGCTCCGGCTCCGGCGCCCACCGCGGCTCTTAACAATGCAACAACTGGCGATGAGGCAGGTATCGTTCCCCCGACGACTGTGGTAAGCATGCTAACCACATTGTTGGTCGATACTTCTACGCCGACGCCGCCGGCACGAACCGGCTTTGGCAGCAATGGGACAGCAACGACAAGCTTGCCGACCATTCCGACAGCTGCAGGTTCGAGAATAGAGATGGCGGGAGCCTTGATTGGTCTTATCTTGCTCCCCATTTTATTCTGAACCTACGAATAGTAAACCCGCAGCGTTGAATCAAAGAAATTATTGCGTTATCAGACTTCAACGAGTAAATCAAGTGATGTTATGTTGCACATGCCTCTTCTTGATGTGCCAAAGAAATAGAGATCTGTGACGAGTAGAATGAGGCACTGGAGGCATAAAAGAGGATCCACAATTGCCATGCTGCAATTGTGACTTATATCACGTCGTGACAAGATTTTTATGAAGCGTTGCCATCACCTTACACAATCAACCGTCGTACACTCAGCATTTAGTATATCCCAAGCAGTCGAGTACAAGGCTTCTCCTCATATTCGTCTGTTGTTAAAAGTGCAATTTGAAGGTGCTGGGCGAAGAGAAATCAGATTGTAGCTAAAAGTTGAGGTCTCACTAGAAACAAAATATCGGGCCTGTCATTCTGACTGTTCATTATGAAAGTTATGTGACACTCTCTATCTCTATTCTAAGGTTGGCTATTCGTGACGTTGATCTTGAGCTGGCTATCAGCAGGTATTTTTAGTCGAGGACATGGCAGCTGGGTGTAAATGTCAAATGGGATAACATGATATCCATACTGAGGAAGCCATGGAATAAGATCGTATAAGAACACTAGATTTCGGAATTCAGTTTCCATACAATGTGGCCAGTAAGCAATCTTCATACTCGTTGAAATAACAATGGTTTCTGACAATCAAGATTACACGACAATACGTACTGTCAGTAGTCATCTACGCTAAGTAACTATTATGTATCCACGATACTATACTACACATGATATCCAGCTGGGAAGATTCTTACTAAAAGCCAATCCTAAGGTCATCGTATACCGGTTGCAATTACCCAACGCTGGAGCTTTGTCTAATAAGCCTTTAGTTTCATAGTATGATCGCATACTGGAGGAAATATTGAGACAAGCGGTAATAAAAGTCCTATCGTACTTGGGTAAAGACTACAGCTTAGTACTACGCTACTACACTTGGCACTTCAGTCCAACGTTTTGACCCATTCATCATTCCGATTTACAATTTCAATATACGCCGAACTGGAAGAATCCTTGCAAGTCTCAGTAGTCAGCCAAAGTGCCAAGAACGCGTCTCAAAAACTGCTTCTGGCCTGCAATGTTCTTTTCATACGCAACACCACCCTTGTACAGGTCAAAGTGGCCCCCTCCTACCCTCAAGGCCTCTCCTAAAGGTGCCCGTCTCACGCACTCTTCTGCAGCATCCAGCGATACTTCGTGGTCCCATGTTGGCAGAACAACTAGGTATGGGCGAGTGCTCTTCTGAATTTGCAGCAACGGCCGAGACAACATGATGCTCAAGAGAGACCGCCCGGCAATAACGGTGGGCAAATCTTCACCATTGTCGGGTGCCAAGCGAACCCAGCCCTCTGCTGCCTCCTGCGAAGCCATCACTGCCGGGGTTGAGCCGTCGCTAACCAAGTTGACATAGCGCGGTTCTTTGGCACCCCATAAGTACGACCCGACAATGTCGGCTGTGGCCACGGCTGCCAGCCTCAGAGACCGGACCAAAGGCATCTGCAGCACACCGGCAAGTCCATCGACGAGCGGACACTGCGCGATACCCGCCGCCAGGTCGTGGTCCTCTGCCATGAGAGCCGTGACGTGCATGCCGCCGAAACTGCTCCCCCACGCGACGACGCGAGATGAGTCGACCCAGCTGCTCTGCTCGGGCTCACGTACCCATTTTATGACGTCTTGGAAGTCTTGTAGCTGGTGCGTCACGTTGAAGACGTTGCGCGGAGAGCCTTCGCTTTCGCCGAAGCTGATGTAGTCGAATGTGACGGCTGCATAGCCCTCCGAGGTAAACTCGCCCGCGAATGGTGACAATCCGGCCGCCTTGATAGCTTCAATACCGTGTCCCATGACGATAGTAGGCATTGGCCGTTTCGATCCATCCGGTTGGTATATGGAGATTGCAATCTTGAGCCCATCACGGCTCGATGTAATAAGCCGGTCTTCTATTGTGTATCCCATGATTTCGACGTCGATTTTCTTGACGGTTTCGTCGAGAGGCATTCATCTAGAGTGAAAGCACAACTGGGTTTTTCTTCTTCTGAAAGCTCTTGCGACTGCGCCTCACATAGAATTCTAAATTATCTCCCACGACATACAAAAAACCAGCTGCACGGGCCTTTTTGGGCCTCGTTTCATGATGACAAGACGTGACGACGCTATCTAAACTTTCGTGGATGATAAAGTTGCGGGGAAGCTTCAAACGGGTGACGGACTTTGCCGCCGGGTCTGCTGCCCAACCGTCGAACCGATGGCCAGTACGTGATAAATGAACTCGGGTGTGAGCGCCGGCAACTGCCATGTCGGTCTCGCACCATCCGCCTCTTACGTTTCCTCTACTTTCCCAGCTGCGATGGCTACCTTTCCAACAACTCACCCATCTCGCGATGTCTCCGAGAGGCTCAGGGAGCTGTTTCGGACCTTGAGGTCTTTTGAGGTCGTGAGGCTAGTCACTCGACGTGGCTGGCCGAGATTTATTTTGTCTCTCATGCTTGCGATAGCAGCAATCCGGCGGATAAGAAGCCTGTTGGGGATGGCTCTTTTCAACAACTTTACTCGAGACAAGTACGACTGGAGAAGGGAGTTGGTGGTCGTCACTGGCGGTTCTGGCGACCTCGGGAACATACTCGTGCGGAAGCTGGCAAAGAACTGTATCAAAGTGGTTAGTCTTGATATTGTACCTCCAGAGAATCCGCTACGTAAGTCAATCTGCGTTCTCCACTACTCGTCTTCTGTTGACAACAGACGCAGCATCGAACGCATCCTTCTACGAAACGGACATCACCAGTTCCACTTCCCTCGAAAAGACCGCGGAGCAGATACGTTGTGACCATGGCGAACCTACAGTACTGGTCAACAGTGCAGCCGTCATGAACATGGCTTCCATTCTTGACGAGACCGAGGAACAAATTCATCAAGTCTTTGATGTCAACATCATCTCCAGTTTTCTGTTGATCAAAGAATTCCTGCCCTCGATGATCAAACACAACCATGGTCATTATGTCGACATTGCGTGTCGGGAAGTTTTTGCTCCTGGCGTGAACAACGTAGACTACGCATGCTCAAAGTCCGGTACCTTAGCCCTGCATGAGGGTCTGATGAAGGAGCTGCGGCATCGGTACAAGGCGCCAAAAGTGCGGGCAAGGTAGGTCGCAAGAGAAAATCTCCTCCCCCCTATTTATAGATTGTCCAATTTGTTGACGGTTCCATTCTCTGTCAGTGTTATCCATCTGCCTCACGTTAAAACAGCCATGGTTGAGAAGGTTAAGGGCTCCGGATTCCTCAAGTCAAAGATAGTCAAACCCGAACCCGTTGTAGACCTTATCTTCAGACAGATCATGGCTGGACGTAGTGGCCATGTGCATTTGCCGGAATAGAGTTGCCAGGGCGCGGAGTTGGTCCTGATGGTGGGTTCCAGAGGCTCTCAGAAACTATCACAAGGAGGTCATTTTTGAATGACTGAAGCTTAAGCCGTAGTGTGATTTTGTTACCGTTATGTTGAGGTGGCACGGCTTTTTGAACGGTTCTGGTGGTTTCACGCCCTCTACTTTGACTATTTCCTAAAACTTCCTAATGCATGTTTCAGTCTATTCGCATGATTGATTAATGCAATATAGTGACTCGGATGGTGTAGCGATATAAGTCGTAATTGCGCATTGGCAATTACAGAACTAATACCCTTGCAATCACAGATTGCCTAGTTGAATGGCTTTTCTATGTATATTTCTTTACGATCTGAATAATAGTTCAAGGTTCCTATTACTACACTCTTAACTTCTGACGCTCTATGCACCAGTCTCGTTGCGCATTTGTACGGTAGTCTTGTATGTCTTAAACTTCCTGGCCGGAACACCCTTTGCAAGCATCTCGTCAAGCTCTTCATAAGAGCGTCCACCGGTTTCGGGTTGGAAGTACCATAGGTAAAGAAGTGAGAAAAAACACAACCCACCAAAGATGAAGGAAAGTTTGGCACCCAGATTGGCCTTATCGGGGCTGAACAGGTAAGGAACAACAAACTGCCACATGACGTTAATGCAGTTTTGCGATGCGTACCCAATTGCGACGGTCTTGGCTCGGAGTCGAGACGTCGATGTCTTAGCTAAGAGGGAGAAGGCACTCGACCCGATGGAAACGTTGTACCACCAGCTGTATAGGAGAATGAAAGCCACGGTTCCCTTGATCATGGGTTGAGTAGTACCAGTTCCCAGTCCTCCAGCGATGAGGAGGAAGGCTGTAAGCACCACCAAGCTGTAGAACGTTAGATTCCTTTGGCCTATTTTGTCAATGACAGCAGCGGCCATCAGATTACCGACAATGGGCAAAACTGGTTGGGCGATTTGAAGCTTGTAACTCATTGAGGTAGAATAGCCAGCGAGTTGAAGATAGTAGGTGAAGTAGCCGGCAACCTAAGCAGATCAGAGTTTAGCATCCGGTCAACTCGTGGAATGCAGGTCAGTCCTTACCCAAGCTATGCCGCTGAAAGCTTGAATTATCAACGGCATGATGCTGATGATTGTTCTTCGCAGGTTGGACTTTTTAAAGCACTCCAGATAGGTGACGCCGTCTGTCTCGTGGCGAACGTCTTCCAATGTACGTTCTATGAGAGCAAGCTTCGCTCTTCCTTCGTTTCCTGTGTGTCCAAGTCTGCCTAAACTCTTGAGGGCTTCCTTCTTCTTTCCTTTGGACACAAGCCACCATGGGGACCTTTTACGAGTTAAGTCAAAGCACCCACTTATGGCCCCCCCCTGCATTTGGCCTACCCCAAAAACGATGCTATTATAACACCACTACTTTATTTAATTAACTATTAACAACCTCTTAATGCCATAATAATACAGCTTTTGGCCTTACTAGGTAATTCTAATGCGCTGGATTTATCTAGCTTACTTTTAGTATTACTAGCCGTAATCTAGGCTTACCACACCTCCTTAATTATTACAAACTTTATATTTAGATCTAGTGTAATAGCCTTCTGTTTTCTAGTTATACTATTAGTAACTTAGGCTTCTAAAAGGCTTATTTTTTACTAGGTAGCAGCTAGTATATATAACTACTTTTAGAAGCCTTTTTTAACTTTTCTAAAAAGCTAGTGTTATATAGTAATATTTTACTTTAGTTAGCTAAATAGTTAAAGTTAATCCTTAAGGTCTTTTACTTTTCTTAGTGTAAACTACTTTATATTAAATAGCTAACTATTTATACTATTAGTATTTTAGGCCTTATAGATATCTTTAGTAGCTAGATTAAGTAGTGTTAATAGTATTAATAGTATTATTATTACTTTTTAAACTAGTAGCTTATTTATAAGTAGCTTTACTATACTAATAGGCTATAACTTAGTGTATTTCTAGCTACTTTTAATATTACTTATAGTTAATCTAGCTAGGTAAGCCTTATAATAGTAAGAAATAAAGTTTTTTTTACTTATAATAGTAAAGTTAATTTACTAACTTAGATATCCTAGCTTTTTCTTATATACTACCTTAATAAGGCTAAAGACTAACTAGTTAAGTAGCTAGAGGATATAAAAGGTATATAAAAGTAAAAATAATAAATAGACGTTATTAATATAGTATAGCTATATAAACTTTATTATTATATAGCTTTTATACTTATTTAAGATAAGTAGTCTAGCCTAATTAGGCTAAAAAGGCTTAGTCTAAAAAAAAAGACTTTTTTTAACTATTTAATAGTAGTATTATTAGTAGTCTATTTATTTTTTATTACTATAAATTCTTATTTATTATATAGATTAAGATTAAAAAAAAACTACTACTACTAGACCTTTTTACTTTTATATATAACTAAAAGATAAAAAGTATTACTTTTAGTAGATATATACTTAATAATAAATACCTAGGCCCTTAATCTAGGCTACTTTTTCCTTACTATATATATTATAGCCTTACCTAACACTAGCTTATTATTACTTTTACTCTTAAAGATACTAGTCTTATCTATATTATATTTATTAGCTAAGTTAATAGCCTAAATATAAGGTATAATAAGATATTTAAACTAGTCCCTAATAACCTTAGTAAATACCTTATTAACACGCCTTAAATTAATAAATTAACTTCTTTAGACCTTAATAGATAGGTTCCTCCTAATAAAGCTATCTACCTATCTCTTGCCTATAGGTTAGGTATCCCCTATAGTATAGAGGATATAATAGGTAAAGTCCTTAAGTTATTAATAGGTTAGTAGCAGCCTAAGGTTAGCCTAGGTAGTCACCTAAGTAGCTAGGCTAGCCTTCTAGGTAGCTAATAGTTACTAGAGGTCTTTAAAGGTAACTAATTACTATTAGTAACTATTTATATAATACTAAAGTGTTAATTATAGTACACCTTATTACTTAGAGGTAACTTAATAAGATATACTACTTATAATATTAGTAATTACCCTTTTAACCTTATCTTTAGTATATTAGACTATAGGGTATTAAAGAAGGTATTCTAAAAAAATAAAGTGATTTAATAAAAAATTAAAAATGTTATAATAGTTTAAATTTAGAGGTTATCTAGAAAGTCGGTGGCTGGGAGGCATTTTTGGGGTGGGCCAAATGCAGGGGGGGGCCATAAGTGGGTGCTTTGACTTAGTTCGACTTGGGAAAATGAAATGAGCAGGTACTAGGGGGTATGATTTACTCAGGCATAAATGGCCAGAGAATAGCCGAAACTCCTGCAAACCCGAACTGACAGCAGAACACTGTGCGGTACGCCCAACGCGACTGGGATGTTCCAGTGTAATTTATAATGATGAAGGCGACCAATGGCCCGACGCCGTAGGCTACACCCACGCCGCAAGTAAAGATACCGCTCAATGCTAACGGAGTAATCTCGCCAATATACGAGATCATGATCGTGCCAAGTGCGCCAACCATGAAGCCATTGAGAAGTTTGCCGGCGAAGAAAACGGCGTTGGTGGTTGCGATAAACTCGATGGCAACGGCAACGAACGATATGAGGAGGGCGATGGCAAGGACTTTCTTTCTGCCGATGAAATCTGCCAACTCGGCGGAGGCAATAGACGATACCACGGCGCTACGATATGTCAGTCTCTAAGTGTAACTGGCTGAGGGGTATTTTTCTGTTGTCTCTCACGTTGCAACGGGAGCGCCACTGAATGCAGATTGCCACGCCGCTGGCAGTACGTAGTCGCCCTCAAACTCATACCCAAAGTCTCTGCGAAAAGTCGGGATGCCTACGACAGCCCCTGCAGCTTGAAGGTCGAAACTGAGGAGAATGATAGTCCAGCAGGCGTAAACACACCATGCAGATGCCCATGGGTAGCGAACGAGGGATTTCCATATACCCAACTCGTGGTCCTCGAGGCCAGCCGCTTGTGCCAGCTGGGTGTCTGTGCCAAGTTCGACATGTTTAGTGTGCAGGCCATCTTTCTCGGCTCCGGAGCCGTTGTTATGAGTTGTCACAACCATTGATCAACCCAACGACAGATACAAAAAAAGAAGAATCGTAATTGTTGTGACAGTTGCTAATAGACAGAGATTTTGCTGTGGCCAAAATGCTGATCATGGGCGGCGGCAGGCGTTGCAAACGAAGAACGTCAAGACAAGCAGTGATGCCCGCACCCAAAGGCCATGACAAACAAGTTGTTGATGTGCATTGGCTACTTGGGAAGAATTTCCCAACGGCGCAATTCCTGGGGACATTCGACAACAACCATGCTTCCCCATGGGGTGATGTGATCATGTGGGGTGGGATTGGGACAGGGTATGTCCAGGTGTCGGAATATGGATAATCACGTGACTGCTGGCTGGATATATGTATCCAGCCGGCCAGCAAACAGATGTATCTGACTTTTCCCCTCTTCACTAATCAATTTAACAAGCACTGTTTTCACCTACGTCGTGACTATATTGCCATGGATCGATTTATCCCTGGGATACCAACACCAGGATATGTGGATGTACCAAGTAGGCATCTCGAGGCTCCGAATTCCTCTTCCGCGATGGGTCTACAGGGGTTCCGCATTTGATTGCGTGGTTCATATTACCTATCACGGACGAGCCCGACTGACATCCCAGACTTCCTTGCCGCCATCCCGCGGGTCCGTCTTACTGCCTCTTTAGATAGCACAGCGCGGTTAAGGTAAAATAACACGCCGTTGGTGCCAAAGCTAGGGATCGGCGCCCTGGATCAATGAGTGGCGTTAATATCTTACGACGTTTGTCCGTTCAACAACTGCCAGAACAGCAACCTCAAGACAAGGCTGAGCATCGAGCGGAATTTATTGCAATCACCATTTGAGCTAGCTTAACCACAGGCTTCGAGACAGTCAATCCCGACAACCTTCAAGCAGCAAACCACGATCTTGAGGAAACTAGCAACCCCGCTCCAAATGGCGCCAGCAGAATCCAGGGGCACAGCGTCCCTCACTCAATTCCCGTCAAAACCACGGGTCTTCATCTTGACAGACATCACCAACGAGCCCGATGATGCGGAATCGTTTTGTAGATATCTCACATACGCCAACCAATTCCGCACCGAAGGCATAGTCGCCGTCACGTCAACGTGGCTCCGGAACAAAGTTGCGCCACAGAACCTGCATGAGATTGTCGATGCGTATGAGAAAGTTGTCGACAACCTCAACGCCCATGCTCACCCGGGCTCGCCCTACCCCTCGGCGCAGAATGTGCGCAGCCTCATCAAGTCCGGCCCTCCGGTGAGTCGATTTGCTCTCGTGCAGCGTGTGCTCGCAGTTGTCCAGCTAACTGAATTGCTGAACAGGTCTACGGCATGGAGGCTGTTGGTGACGGCATTTCCCTGAGCGGAGGAGCCGAGTTGCTCCTCGAACGGCTCACGGCGCCCGATAACGATCCGCTCTGGGTTCTCGTGTGGGGAGGCGTCAATGTGCTTGCACAGGTCCTTGAAAAAACCAGAAATCGGCCAGACGCCGCCAAACTGCGCGAAAAGCTTCGCGTCTATACGATTTCGGATCAGGACGACTGCGGGGGCTGGATTCGCCAACAGTGGCCCGAAATATTCTACATCTTTTCCATTCACGGCTGGAATCAATACCAATGCGCCGCATGGAGTGGAATCTCGTCCCATTGTACTAGCGATGTCGGAGGGCCGGACAATTCCAAAGTGACGCACGAATGGGTTAAAGACAACGTCCAAATTGGTCCTCTGGGCGCTGCATACCCCAATTTCGAGTTCATCATCGAGGGCGACACGCCGACCTTTCTCTACCTTATCCAGAACGGCCTGGGAGTCCCAGAGGAACCATCTTATGGATCTTGGGGAGGCCGTTACATTCCGGTCAATGTCGGTCCAAAAGGCCTGCCGTCTAGAGGTCATTTTGCGGATGCAATTGATACAGTACTTGGCGTGGACGGCAAGCCGCACAAGACCAATCAGGCCACGGTCTGGCGCTGGAGGAACACATTTCAGGACGACTTTGCCGCGCGCATGCAATGGACATTGACTTCAGATTTTGGCAAGGTCAATCACCACCCCGTCGCCTCGTTAAACGGTGACTTTGGCTTGGCGCCTCTTAACGTCGAGGCCGATGCCGGGGGTGTCGTGTCTTTTGATGCATCCGAAAGTTATGACCCTGATGGCGACAAGCTCAGCTTCAACTGGTACCAATACCGCGAACCCAGCTCGCTGCAGACATATCACGGCCTAGAGGTGTCCGATATCGAGATCAAGCCACTCAACGATGATCGCAGCAAAGTTGAGGTACTAATTGCCCCTGCAGAAAAGTCCTGTATCGTGGCCAGGGAGAAAATTCCTCTTGAACGAGGCCTCCCTCTCCACTTGATTCTTGAGGTCAAGGACAACGGCACGCCCTCTCTGACGAGCTATCGCAGAGTCATCATTCATCCTGTTGATAGAGAATTTGGCTCTGAAAAAAGATAGTGCAGAGCATAGATAAGATGACAACGTCAGCACTCGGCATTCATTATGAGTTGCGGTAGTGGCGCGAGCTTAACTTCGTGTTGCGTGCCTTGAGTGGCGTTTTTGGGACCCAATCAGATACACTTGCGGGTGGTTGATTTCGTTTTGGTTTTAGCTCAGGAGGAACTAGCACCACAGGCGCTTTCGACTCCTATGAATCAAAATGTTATCGCACGATACTTCATCCCAGTTCAATCAGCGGCAATCGGTCTACTATGTACTCCGAAGTCCCGAGTGAGACCCACATTTTCCCAAGAGTCGATCACAGTCTACGGATACACAATTCATTTGTTCTCTCTTTGCTTCCTCATCTACCCCGCTCTCACTTGTTTGCATCTTGTCAAATGTGGCGGAATTACACGTGAATTAGCCGGCGAATGCACGGTTGCCCTACAGCGAATTGTTGGGGAATGGGCGGTGAATTGGCCCCACTTCTAGTGGCAAGTCCACTAATAATATCGCCAGGATTAGCCGGGGATTTCCTAACTAAGAAATAAGGGGTTTTCCCTATTTCTATAGTAATTTACTATAGATATATAACATATAACAGAATTAAGTAACTATTATAATCCTTACTATTAAATAATTAATAGTCTAATATATACGTCTATAATAACTAACATGCCTATCTACTAATTAAATACTATTATAATAATTAATAAGAACTATAATAATAAGGCGACTATCTTATAATTACATAGTAATTAGTTTGTATAGCTTAACGCTATCTAAGTAAAAGTAAAGCGTTATAATTTCTAGAAGTATATTAACCTAGAGGTTATAGCAGCAGACTAATTAATCCTTAAGATATATCTAAAGAAACTAATAAAGCTACTTATAACGTAATATCTATATACCTTAACTAAGGATAAGCTTACTGCTTACTAAGAGGTTACTATAGCTATAGTAATTACTAGGATATCCTAGTAAGTAACTATATAGCTATATATAGTAAAAAGTAAGGCTATTATAACTATACCTAATAGGCTTATATATAAAACTAAACATATAATAACGCTAGATAATCTTAACCTATATAATCTTATGTACTTAAATAGCTAGATAAGCTACTATTATAAAGAAGTATATAAGTATACTACTTAGTAAAAAGACATTAAAGACGTAGCTAATATAGTTAAATTTACTATATCTATAGATCTTTAAGAAAAATATTATAAATCTAATAAATTACTAGCTAAATAGCTTAATAAGCTTAGCGTAGTAGTAAGAATAACTAAAAAAAAGTATATAAAGTATGCTTATAATAAATATAGTAAAGTGTTAGTAAAAGCCTAGTAAAAGGCCCTAACTACTAAAAAAGATCTTACTACATAGCTTAATAAATAGAACGTAGCCTATAGTAAATTAGTATAAGTTAATTTACCTAACTACTAACAGCTATTAATCTAGTTTAATAACCTTACTACTACTTTATAAAATAGTTTGCTTAGCGCCTAGCTAGATTTATATATAGTAATAAGTAAAATAATAAGTAATTAGAATAATCTTAACTAGTAGTTACTTTATAAGATAGCACTAAAGAAAGTTAAAGCCCTTACTAATAACTTACTATATTATAGCTAAGTAGGCTGTAGCGTATTTAGCCTAACTAAAGGTAATAATAATAATAGACTAACGCACGCTAAAGGCGTAGTAAAGGATAGTAAATTTAATAATAAAAGGCATTACTACTAATAAAGTGTAAGTAAAAAAGTAAAGTGCCTTACGTGCTTTAGCGCCTATTTATTATAACTTTACTACTTTATAAATAAGTTATAAAGGCCTAATAATTAGTAGGTAAATACATAACGTTAGTAATAAATTAATAAGTATATTATAAGTAATCCTAACCTTACTAAATAAGTATAGAGAATTAAAGCTAAGTTATATTAACTATATAGTAAATACTACGTAAAGGTAGCCTTCTATACTACTTTATAAGGCTATAAGCTAGGTAATTTAGCCTTACTTAATTTAGGCACTACTAACTATATGTTTAACTATATATCTTAGTTTATTATATTAGTAGTAGCCTTAATTAGTAACTATATTTAGGCTAGTACTACCTAAGTAGTAATTAAAGGATATAGTACTATAGAGATTACTTTAAAGGGCGCTAATAGCTTACTAATAAAGCTCTATATATATAACGTAATATATTATAGCGTATTTACTATATTACTTATTTCTTTTATAAGGCTACACTAGTAAGGTATATAGTAAGATATAAGCCTAGGTAATAATTACTTAAGGCGTATAGATTATAGCCTTATAGGCTATATTAAGGAATAAGCTAACTAATAAGTGCTTAAATATTATAGGTAACGTAGCTATAGCTAAGAAAGTAAAGGCGCTTTTACTATATACTCTACTAATAATTTACTACTAACCCTATAAGTAAGAAATAAATATATAACGTTAATATAGTAATAACTACTTTATAGTAATATAATAATATAGTATAAGCGTCTTAGCTACCTAGGTACTAAGGCTCTATAAAGGATTATAAATACTACCTATAAAGTATATCTAACCTAAGTTAACGTTATAATAATATAAGACTATAATTTATATAGTCTTAGTAAGATAAGGCAGTAGATTTACTACTAGCCTTATAAATCTATTATAAATATAGCGCTAGGTAATTACCTAGCGCTAGACTTTTATAATCTTAAATAAGGCTATATAGGATACTGCTTAGTAATAATAATCTTAGATTAGGTAATAGGCCTAGTGTAGGATTTTTACCTATATAGCTACTACTAAGATACTATTAAATTAATAATAAGGGGCTTCCTTATAATACTAAAAACTAAATATTTAATTACGCTAAAAGTTATTAAGGCTAACTAAGAAATCCTACGCCTTAAGCGACTTATAGATACGCTCTTTAATTATAGAATCTCTATTAAGCTATTAGTAGTAAATACCTAGGCTTAAAATAGTAGTACTAAGTAAATTACTATAATTATTAAACTTAAGGCGTAATATATATAGATTAATATAAAATTACCTAAAGTCCTATAGCCTAAAATTATAACTATAGCTATATACCTTTATAATTAAACGCCTTTAATAGCTTAGGGGTAGAAATCCTTATATTAATTATTTTACTTATATTTTATACTTAATAAGCATACTAAGCCTTTACTAATAGTAAAGCTAGATCTTTTATATCTATAAGCCTATAAATACTAAGCGTATACGCTAATAGTAGACATATAACTATTATAAAACTACTAGTAAAAGCTTACTACCTATATATAAATTAGATTCCTTATTAAGTATATATCTAGTAATTTATATTATATCTAGTATCTAGCGTAAAATAAGGTCTTTACTATATATAACGTAATATTTAATAAGAAATAAATCTTTAATAGATTAATAAATAAATTACTTAATAAGCTTTATAAAGCTAATCTTATAGTAATTTAATAATAAATTAATAAGCTAATTATAGCTAGTAATTAATCCTTAGTATATAAAGAAGCTAATAAAGAAATAGATAAAGTAATTAAATATACTAATATTACTTTACTAGGCGCTTTATAATTAGGTAACACACTAGAATATCTATATAAGTAGGTAAAATTTATACTTCTCCTTACTTTACTACTATTACCACTAAGCGCCTTTTTTATAGCTTTTATAGATATTAATATAAGGGGTAGTAAAATAGGAACTAATAGTTCTAAATTAATTAATCTAATAGCTAATAGCTAAATACTTACTAATAGTAAAATAAATAATAAGTAAATACCTAAATTAATAGCTAATAGCCTATTAATTAATTTATTAATAGCCTATAGCCTATAAGCTAGTAACTTACTTAAGGTAATTAAAGCTAATAATAGTTTAAATAATTTATTAAAAGCTAATAGCCTATAAGCTAGTAACTTACTAGGAACTAATAGTTCTAAAATAATAAGGATAGTAATCCCTTATGCCTTATCTTATCCCTATATAATTAATTTATAAGATATTACTAAGTATAAAAAGGTGTTTAATTCCTAAGTAACTATAGCTAGCCTATTAGGTAATCTCTAGCTAGTAGTAACCTTATTTAAAGGTGTTATAAAAAGGTATTATCCTACTGTGTATATAGGTAGTTAGATTACGCTAAGGACTTTATTTAAGGCTATTTTCCTTATAGGGCTTACTTTATAGTAAAAAATTACAGACTATATATAAGGCAGCTTATAGGTAGTAATATAGTCTAGTATATTATAAAGTTAACTAATAAGTAAAAATTACTACCTTTAGCTAAAGCGTACCTAAGGCTACTTAATTAACTATATAACGCCTAATAGGTATAATAATTATAAAGACGTTACTAGTAAATTACTAGTATATAATAGAGGAGTTACTAGACCTTATAAGCTAATAGGTATGTATTAGAAGTTACTATACCCTTTACTAATCTATAGATAGTTAAAAAGCTACCTATATAAAAAGTAATTTAAAGACGCTAAAAAAGTGTATTTATATAGGCATAAAATATTAAAATCTTAGGTAATAGTGCTATAAGTAGTAGCTAAAGGGTATTAAATCCTTAGCTGCTATTAGGTATATACCTATAAGCTTAATAAATATAGTTAATTAACTAAATTTAAAGTAAGACTTATAGTCTATAGTAACTAATAAGTAAAAGATTTATAAGATACCTATATAGCTATATTAGTAGGTACGTTATTTAAAATACTTATAGTAATAGCTACTTACTTTAATTTAGAATTACTTTAATATAACATAGTAAATATATTTGTTTACGCTACTATTAATAAAGTAGTATTTATAGAGATACCTCTAGGCTACTAAATTACTAGCTAGATCTTCTAGTTATTAAAAGCACTTTATAGGCTTTAGTAATTACTACTACTATAGTAAAAGCACCTTAAAGAAGGACTTACTATATAAGGCTTTTACTAAGTGCCTAGTAAGAACTACTATTAGAAGAA